GCTTTTAGGCATCTGTTGGGACCATCTGCTCACAATATAAAATCATGCCAAGTTAGCTTCTACACAGCGACTTCTACAGAGTCAACTGTGAGAATGCCAGGAGAATGTCACTGCCTGTGCAAGTGTCTCAGAAACAGTTTGATCTTTACCTTGAGCAAAGTTCAAACACAACTGTCAGGTCACATTTTAAATTTATGACGGATTTATGACAGTATGTCAAGGCTAACATACGTTTAGCAGGTATTATATTGACCATGTTCATCATCTTAAGATGCCAGTATGCTTCATCAAAAACATGACAACCTGACAATATGGTTTTGTAATTTTTTACCCAACAATTATGACAGAAAACATCAACAGCTTACTGATGACAACCACTGAACATTCTTACCCGATGTTACAGTGCGCTGCGGTCAGCACCCAGTACCTGTGAACCAGTGATCCACCACAAAAGTGTTGGCCCCTGGTGCTCTGCAGTGACACAATGTACTTGATTGAGTTCGGCACAGCAGTGTGACCACCGACTATACGGCCCTGCATGAGCACACGGCCTGTGTGGACACAAAACATTTACAGGACAAGGCGTAAAATAAGTAGCTGTGACAGATGGATTAAGATTTGTTTTACAGGTGTTCTACATGATATTCAGAGCGTATCTACAGATTAGGGGTTGTCTGAACACGGCTCTCAACATGGCGGTGGCTGAGCCTGTGGCTAGCAGCTAACAGTGCTAACCAGGGGGTAACCAGGGGGTAACCAGGGGGTAACCAGAGAGTGGACGCTACACTTCTGCAGTGACTGTTGCAGTGCAGAGGGGCGGCAATGAGCTAGCCAGTGGGATAGATACCTGTACAGAGACTCACAAGCACTAGTATGCACACATGGCCAGACCATCTACCACCCTCATATGACACAACAAACAGACAAGCACACAGAGAGGATGCGTGACTTCATTCTCTGGTCAGGACTCAGATATATAGCAACAACTCCCCAGGTATAGATTTCAGTCCAAGTACATCTTATAAAACATGGAGAGTCATCAGTGAACAAAAGAGAAACATAAAGAGCAAGCCCCCCTAATCCCCCCTTCAAGCCCATTGACCCAACCTAACAATTAGTGGTTTTCTGTCACCTGGGAGGCCACTGCGTAATGAAGGTAATCCAATATAACCTGACCTTCTAGTGTCACCACCTCACACTGGGCTCTGAAACTTTAGAGTGGGGGCTCTCCCTGTCTGCTTTATACAACAGCTCAACTGTACATTGTCTTCAGGCTATAGAGTCGGAGACATAGGAACAGTAAAGGCTATTTCCTGGACATATTTATGCTTCGTTTCTGTAAACGTGGGTGGAAATATGTCTCTTTTTTTTGTTAAGCACAGTTGGGGATTATTTACAAACTGATGACGCTGTAAAGGAAGGAGGAAATCTATTTAAAGCCATAGTTTGACTTTATTTGCTTCTTTTTGCCACAGTCTCCTTTGTTGAATCTAAACAAACACCAGAGTCAAGGAAACCATATTACTGTATATAGAATATATTTTCCTAGAGTATAAAAACAACAATGCACCAGGCTATGCTAGCTGCTTCACCATGTTCCCAGCCTGTGTGCTAAGCTAAGCAGACTGGCTGCTGGCCTCAGCCTCTGATTTAACTGATTGAACTCTCAGCAAAAAGCAAATATGCATATTTCCCAAAATGTCTTATACATGTCATATGTATTTTTTTTTCAATCTAAAATGCATAAACTTGAAAAGCTAAGACCAGTAACGTGGCACAGAATTCAACATTTAAAACTGAGCAACTCAACAAAACTGAGAAACATATACTCACTGTGGACTGTCGTGAGGTCCAGCAGCACACAACACAAACACACGAGCAGGCTCATCATGGCTGTGGAGGTTTTAGGCTGTTATCCTACACCATACCAGCAGCTAAACCACTGTAGCCACAACCAGCGTCCTCTGCTCCTCTCTGCTGGCCCAACACTGGGCATCCACTCCTTTCTGGAAACAGTAGGACTCAGTCACATCAGCCTTTATCCTCCAGTTTTTAATTTCACCCTTCACCATGACACGCAGCACCAGGGTCCAACACTGTAGCATTGATTGAAAAGGAAAGAGAGCAACAAAGTTCACCTTCAAAAACTGCCCAGCACCCCCCTGCCATCCCAGCACTATCACAACTCTTTCGCCTGACCCTCCTGACTTGTCGAAAGGCCTTACATTGTTGCCATGGCAACACAGGGTACTGTGCCGAGTGGGTTCATCTATACTGTATCAGCACGCTCTGTCTGTGTCATCATCCAGGCTTATCCATGCTGAAATGTTTCAATAGCCCACTGTGCTTGTGTGTGTGTGTGTGTGTGCGTGTGTGTGTGTGTACGCAGGGCTTTGTTTTGTAGCTTTGGGGAGATTCACATCTGATTCAAGACAACACAGAGGTACTCTACGCAGCCGAGACACACAAGTGTTCTTCTGTATGAGTATGAATCATCATGTCTGCAGTGATAATAACTCATTATCATCAGCCTGATCATCATCACTATTATCATCATCATCATCATCATCATCATCAGGCTTCTGGCAAGTCAGCATCATCCGCAGCATGGGAGGAGAATCTCGCCTGACCTCCTCTTGTCCCACATTTAGAGCAGGCTGAATAATTGATGCTTCACCCAGTAGAATGGGAGAGACGGCTTTGTGTGGCCTCCCACCATCAGGTGTTTCCTGGACCAACACTTGCCTGACTTCACAGGCAAACGCCCTAAAACATCAGGTTGTTTCTATTCTATTAATACAGTCAAAGCAAATATGACTCATGCAAATACTTTGTAAATGTTGCAGATATTTGAACTTAAGTTGGCCTTAACAATAGCCATTCAGATTCACATTGGGACAGGCGAATGAAATTTAATTTTATAGCAATGATACATGACTGCTATTTAATACCTGTAGCTTCTATGAAAACAGTTGACAGCAAGTTTTATACAGAGTAATGGGGACATGTTTCTAGCGGGGCCACCTATTAGACCTGCTTTTGTGTAGCTTTATTTACTGTCATTGCTGTATTATGTATTACCTTATCATTGTGACTCTGCTGGATGTCTTGGTTACTGTGAAGCATGTTTTGACTTCTGATCCAGAAAGACACCAAGTAAATAAACTTTCCTTGCTTCCTAACTTAAGTACTGCTCTTTAAAAGAATAGAGAAAGATATTTTCGGAAATATGCATATTTCTTCATATTTCTTCACAAGAGTTAGATGAGAAAATTTGTACCAATCTCATGTTATTTTAATATTTCAAGGAAGATATGGCTCCCAGCCTGGAAATAGTCACAGCATGAAATTCCCCAGAAAGCCACGACTAGTCATTTTTACATTGACGTTTTTATACAGATTAAACAAACAAGATAAAATGTGTTAATTAGTCATTTTTAGAGGTGCTGTGAGGCAAACTTCAGTCTTTATGCTAAGCTAAGCATTTCCTAAGCTAATCATTGTTGACAGACAGATGCAACTGGTATCAGTCTTCTTATCCTCTTGGCAAAGAGTGAATAAATCTATTTCCCAAAATGCATCCTTCATTAAATGTATTTTTTAGGGTTGGATATATATAAATTTGTCAACCATCAGAGCATTGCTATGCTATTAATACAGAGGTGGCCATATCTTTGATTATAGCACACATTCAGCCATTCAGCCAAAAACACACATTTCTGTCTGGTTGTTTTATACATAAACTGTCTCTCAACTGGTTTTCCAGAAACTTTTTTTTTTTTTGACATGACATGACATATCAGTTAAACTATATATAATAACATTTTGCCCACCACTATTTTGAGCACCACACTCATGCATTCACTTCAACTGTATAGCAGAGGAGGCAGAAATGTTTTTTATTTTCAATTTGGGTAAACTGACCCTTTAAATACACAACACTTATACTTAGTTTGGCTTTGTCAATAAAAACACAGCACAATGTGAATATAGAGGTTAGATTGATGGACAAATAGAGACATAATCTGCCTTTTATATCAACACAGAAGTCTGGATGCGGCAAAGAATTAAATTTCTCCGTGCTGACCACATTTTGGCAACATGTGATCCTCTTAGACTCACCGCTTATACGTACAGTACGTGCAGTTTTGTGCAAGACATCTGCCTCACTCTCTCTGTCTCCTTCTCTCCCTCTCTCTCTCTCACACACACACACACACACACACACGCAGACAAAAGCATCCTGTTTGTCATCTCAGCTTTGCACCTGAGGGAGAGCGGAGCACGCTATCACCTTTCACCCTAAGACACCTTGGGGAGAGCAGACTGTATGGAGGCTATGAGTTACAGACCAAACACCTGTGTGTGGGAACTAAGGATGGAAAAAAAACAAACTGCTGGGAAACTAAGTGAGAGTGACACCTGAAGAGATGGGAAAGGCTGAGAGAAGAGAAGAAAGACACTGCAGACACACGTTATAAGACAGTCTTTCTCTGCTGGATCAGACTTATCAACGTGAACACAGGCCAGGCTGTGGCACTGATTTTGGCATTATTTGCTTTAATTGTGTCATATTGACCCGAGGTCGACTTAAGGGAAAAACCAAGGTACAAAACACATGATCAACCACTCTCACTCTTAGCCCAATTAAACAGGATTTCTGAGAAAAGCTTTTTCCTTGTTCCACGACAGAATAAATGCTTTCATGTCCTGCTACGTCTCAGGTTGATAGTGCACTAGGGGGCAAATATATCATACTCAGACATCATTTGAACTGCCCTCTGTAGCATCACTGGATACACCAACATCATGTCTGGCGAGTATATTCTATCATTTCTCTGGCTTGTTGGGTTTCATCCCTGTAAAGTTTCACTTTGTCTCCCCAACTGGACAATAGGCTGAATCTGTGAGAACAAAGGCCTTAGAAAGAGAGGCGCAATGAAAGAGAAGGCTGCTCTTTAAAAAAAAAAAAAAAATCATGTACTAGGTCACACTCTTGGCTTTCTGCATGTGAGAGACACTTGGATATATGGTGGACAATGGAAGGGAACAATGACAGTGACAGGCATCGTTACAGTATAAAAGAGGAGAGGAGAAAGTTCTCAAGCTTTGCTGTATATCCCGGGATGAGCGGGGTGTGTGAGGATGTGAGTGCCAGTGTGTGGATGCTGGACTCGGACTGTTTTCTCACTTGACTCTTGATAAGGTGAGACGGCTTTGTATTGGTACCAATTAGAGTGCAATGAGTGACATTTTCTCAATCAATTGAAAAGATAAAAACAGAATAGAAAAAATAAGTTTACTTTGGAGTGAATGTGACAACGTATGACCACTGAACAAAGATGATCTGAGCTCTAGAGGTTCATGTCTCAACGCACATCAGAGGTCGAGACATTATGCTTTCATACTACCAGGGTTTTCTTGAGTGAACAGCCTTCTCAGGATGGCTGTTAATCTTCCTGCATTATCCATCCTGTACCTGTATCTACATGTATTATCAACAGCTCTGACCAAACATCGTAAATGCAACAGTATCTTCATTTTAAGGCAACTTTTTTGTCATTTAAAAAAAACAATATGCAAAACATGAAGTTCAATCTTGAAATTTGCAGACTGTATTTCATGTAGTATTAAGGAATAATTTTGGTGTGTGTGCAGGAGTGAATTTAATACATTTAAGCTTGTAAATGATCTTTGATACTTTGAAATTCTGACTTGACAACTTTGGTTAATGTGGCTGATTAAACTTAATCATCTTCACGGCTGTTGTGATACTGACCACCTCCGCTGTGTCTTTCTTTTTAGTAGCTTTTAAGATGAACCTGGCTCCATCCTGGCACCTCTCACTGCTCCTCCTGAGTGTTCTAACAGGTGAGGAACAATGGCATCCGAGAACACATTTACAGTACATACTGTCCTTTCAACACACCTTCAGTCACACAGGGCTGACTTCATGTAACTCTAGCTGAGTGAAAACTAAAAGCTGCAAGTTAATCTTGTGTTACAGAGCCTCTCTGTCTCTGTGTGTCTAATCCCCTCTTTGGCTCTTAGGTGTGTACGGGAAGAGAATCATCGGGGGTGCAGAGGTGAACCCATACTCCATCAAGTATCAGGCCTCCCTCCTGTTCATGAACCATCACTTCTGTGGAGGCACCCTCATCCACCCGCAGTGGGTGGTGTCTGCTGCCCACTGCTGGAGACCGTGAGTTACTGCAGTTGTACACCTGGGGCATATGAAGGGTTCAGTGGCAAAAATATCTCCATTTTTTTCTTCTGTTCCTCTCAAAGTTTTTGGGTAGTGCCTTTAAAGGAATATAACTCAAACTGTTGGTTCATTTTAAGACCATCTTTTAACAGTTTTTGCAAATGAACTTCTCCTATTGCTGTTCTCTTTTAGGAGGCACCTGATCCAGGTGGTCCTGAGTGAGCACAGCATCTACAAGCTGGAGGGCTTTGAGCAGAGGTTCGATGTCTCCTTAGTCATCAGGCACTACCAGTACCAACACTGGACGTTTGACAATGATATCATGCTGATAAAGGTAAGGGATGACTGTGGATTATGTCGTAGCCTATTGTGTTGTATTCAGATGTGGATTTGATATAGATCCCACATATAGATCCCCATTAATCCATCGATTGTTTGGTTTGTAAAAATTCTGAAAATGGTGAGAAATACCGTCACAATCATTGGTGTTACCCAGAGCCCAAAGTGAAACCTTCAAAATATCTTTTTTTTCAACCAATAGTCCAAAATATAATAATTAAAAATTCTAAAATACTATTAAAAGGAAAAGCAGAAAATCTTCAAATTTGAGAAGCTGAAGCCATGAACTGATTTTAAAAATTAAAATTGTTTCTGACTAATCTATTGATAATCAACTGATCAGTTCAGTTGTACTTGTAAATTTAAAACATTTTGTATGTGAAAATGTTCATTTCTATGACTAAATCATTTTTATCATCACTAAATGTATTATTGCCCTTTCATAAAGTTAGGAGTCTACTTAAAAAGATGGTCTAAACCAATGCAGTAGACGCCGACATGTTCTGACTTTTAGTCCTTCAGTAGCCTACTCAGGTAATATTATCGCTGATACTATGTGAGGAGCACTAAGTTGTCACCGAATACAGAAAGCAATAAGTGCATTTTGAAACAAGAAAAAAAAACAAGGTAGGACTGCAGTACCAGAATCGTGAAAAAGTTGATTTTACTAAATTCTTCCAAATGTTGATCTAAACTGAAAAATTGCTAAAATGTTTATGACACACTGCTTGATGTTTTTTCCTTTAAAATAAAAAATAAAAATAAAAATGTTATACATAGGAATTGAAATACAATGATCTTTTTCCACTAAACAATGCATTGTGTTCTTGAGGCTGATAATATACCTTATGAGAAATAATGTGCAACATATGAAAAAAAAGTATAAAGTATAGTATAAAGCAGCATTAAACGGAATTACCTAAGAAAAGTAAGAGTACCTCAAAATTGTACTTAAGTACAGTGTTTAAATAGAGTAAATGCACAGAGTTTCTTTCTACCACTGCTGACAGCAAGCCAAAATAACCCTGATGGATTTATCAGTAGTAGTATTCAGTGGAGCTTACTTTACTCATGATTCATTTTATCAGTTGCCTCAATATTGACCTGCCTTTGATACAGTGAGAAGGCTCTGTTAGTACTTTACTTCCTGTCAGCCAGAAAACTGACTCATTGCTTTTTATTGTGCATATTGGGGATTTTCAATGGAACTGAATTTCCAGTGCACTGTGACATTTTTTCTATTGAAACACACTACAAATGATGCTTACTCCCTATTGAACCAGAGACCTGATTTGGATTCAGTTACATTGAGTACAGCAACTCGTTTACTAAATCAACTGCTTCACACTGGTGCACTTATTTATCCTTTGTTGCCTCCATCTGTTCTTGTGTTATTTATTTTATTCTTTTTTAGACAGCACAGTGCGTCATTTAGATGAGCAACAACCCTCTTTACTTACATTTGCATGTGAATAAAAATTGTGCACTGCTAACTTCAGCAATAGCTTTCTGTGTTGACTGACTGATGGAAATGTTCTCTGTCGGTCAGTTGGACCGTCCAGCTATCATCAATGCCATGGTCGAGCCAGCCTCTTTGCCAGACCCAGACTCACCGCCTTTGGCCAACCTTGCCCAGTGCACAGTCAGCGGCTGGGGTGTGACCTGGCTCAACAGCTACAGCCTGTCACCTATGCTGAGGTCCGTGGATGTGAACATCTTTGACAACTGCAGGCAATACTACTACTTCAGGGTAACAGACAACATGGTCTGTGCTGGCTCTCGCTTTGGTGGGAAAGACTCCTGTCAGGTGAGGCAAAAAGCCTCGTGTGTGTGTGTGTGTGTGTGTGTGTGTGTGGGCAATTGCCAGGCATTAAGGTTTAAGTTCAAGGAACAGCTAATTGATCTGTTATGATGAGATGTCACAGAGACTGATACATTATTATTCACTACGATACTTTATAGGACTCCCACCCATGGGGTTATCTCCAGGTCGGAAAAGTGAAGCCAATGTGGAAGTGCCTTAAACCTGCATTCTTGCTAATGGACAGCAGGGGGCGACTCCAATGGTCGCAAAAAGAAGTCAGATTGTATAAAGGTCTATGAGAAAATGACTGCTTTCATTTTATTTATTACCTCAGTAAACATTTTTCAACATGAGTTTATGGTCTCAATCACTAGTTTAAAGTCTTCGTCGATACATCATGATGTTCATTTTGTAAAATATGGTCCCATTTAAAGGAAAATAGACAATCAAGCAGGGTACGTTTTAGGGCGTGGCTACCTTGTGATTGACAAGTCGCTACCACAGCAATGTCCTTGGGTTCTAAGTTAGCTCCACCCCTCGCTTCTCCAAAGCTCCACCCTGTCGTGTAAATATGGTCACTTCTGGCTCCACAAAACAAAGATGGTGACGGCCAAAGTGCCAAACTCAAGGCTTCGACATTGTAGTACACAAAGCAATGGGTGACATCACAGTGGCTACATCCCCCTGTTTTTTAAATAGTCTAGGGTCCCACCTTAAATTTAAGATACAGGACTGAAACATGTACTATTCCCAAAATGATAGCAAGAAGAGAACAATTCATCTGAGACATTTATTTTTCGGAAGCTGTTAAAGCTGCATTGTCAATTTTTTTGAACCAAACTGTAAACACAGGATTGACATATTACCTTATAAAGTTGTCAAATGTGTAAGCAAACAGTGGGACCTGGAAACATTCATTCTCCTTGTACTCCTTAACTGTATAAAACTAATAAACAAAGCCATACCTGTAGTGACGTCACCCATTAGTTTGTGGTCTACCATTCTAGCATTCTAGTTAGCACTTTGACCATCTTGGACATTTTGAGCCAGAAGTGACCATATTTGGACAAGAGGCCAGAGCTGTGGAGGAGCGAGGGGTGGAGCTGACTGAGAGTGCGAGAACACTATCACTCAAAGTGGCCACGTCTTCATAAATATGTTTATTTCTGCTGTAAAGTTGGGCATTTTAACATAGATGTCTGGGAATTGACTTCTGGAGCCAGCCTCAAGTGGCCATTTGAGGTACTGTAGTTTTTAGCACTTAAACACTGGCTTTGTTTTTCAGCCACGAAGGCTGCTCCTTTTTAGCTACAAAGTGCTTCACTACATTCACCAGCTCACAAATTTTGACTGTGTGCTGTTACATGCTGGATACATATTTTATAGGTTTTTTAGAGCTTGAAAAAAGCTGCCTGCTTCTGCTGGACACAAGGTTGATACGAGCCAACAATGATTTAGCCCCAAAACACTGATGTTAAAAAAATAAAAGCTCCATAGAGCTGTGGAAAACTGCAGATGATGGTGGTGGTGCTAATTCTTACTTGATTTATTTGAACAACCACTTTCACATTCTTTCAGTTGTGAATACATAAATATTGATTTGTACAGATTTAAAAGCTTTCTACATCAATCAATTAGCATTAAAGCAAGCACACATTTTCAGCTATGATCACATGGGAAACTGACAAAAATCAGATTTGTTTTTTTTTTTTTTTTAATTCTTTTGCGATTTTACATGAAAGGTCCAGTGTGTAGCATTTGCCATTGTATTTAATATTCGTAACTATTTTTCATTGGTTTGTAATCACCTGAAAATAAGAACTGTGTTGTTGTTACCTTAGAATTAGCCGTTTATATCTACATACAGAGCAGTGTCGCTTCTGCAGAGTTCACTATGTTGTTTACATGGTAGCCCAGAATGGACATACAAACAACATACAAAGATATACAAACACTGGCCAGATACAGCCATTTGCGTTTTTGCATTTTGGTCTCTTACACGCTTGGCACATGGGAGAAATTTCAGTTCCGCTAAATGCTACTAAATCCTATCATACTGGACCTTTAAAATGTGTACCGACTTCAACAAAAACTTTTGCTTTCCATCCTCAGGGTGACTCAGGAGGACCTCTTGTCTGTAACGGTAAACTTGAGGGCATTGTATCCTGGGGCATCGGCTGTGCTTATGCTTACTACCCTGGCGTCTACACTAAGGTCAGAAACTACCTCGCATGGATCAATTGGGTCATCCAGAACAGATAATGAGACTCTTAATGACAAACTCACCTAAAACTCTATTGTGATGACGATTGGAATGGATCCTTGTTGACCCTGAGGTCCTATTTTGGGTTGTCTTCTATCCAGTAGTTTCATATAAACATGAATATATTTGCTAAGAAGAAATAAATACACCCCAAAACACAAGCAGGCAAAAATACACAGTGAAGTCGCTTTTAAAAAAGGGTTATCTTGAAATAAAAGTCTGAGATATACTACCACAACTAAATGCACTTTGTATTTTGTAGTTATTCTACTGTGTTTGTAGTGTTTTTAAGAAATCATAGAAAACCATGTCACTCATTTTGGGAATCACTTCAGGGATCATTTTGCTCTTTAAAGTTCCCATTTCTCCACTGACTCAGAGCTCAAAGAGAAGCTGGACTTAACAATAAAGAGACATATTTTCTCAAACTGTCTCCTCTCTTATTGGCCAACTATCACACTGAAACGTGCAGTAGATCATGAACCACACAAATTATGGAAATTCTCTTGCGCAAACTTTAGTCATATAGGTGAGTCACATCATCCTGTCTGAACTTCCTATATATATGTCACGTCCACACAAACTGAATAATGGCAACAAAAACAAAACCCCCTCTCACTGCCTCATGACAGCATGTTGGCATTCCAGCTGGTGATTGGCTGTGACTGCTCCCTCTCCTCCTTCCCTCTGTCCCCTTCCCTTTTAAAGCTGAGCCACAATAGACTCATTCACTGACTCAAAAACAACCTCACAAACCCCAAGAGCAACCATGGACCAAGTCAACTTCAGCAGGGGGGTAATGCATATTAAGGACCATGGCTCCAGAGACTTGTCCCAGGAAACAGTCAAGAGGCTGATCCTCCAGTCTCAGAAGGCAAAACAGCAAGCCTACTGTCCTTACAGCAAATTCAGAGTGGGAGCGGCTCTCTTGACCCTCGACAACTGTGTGTTTACAGGTAAGATACAAGTAAAATTTTGCCTTTGGGTTGTTTGATTAGAGTAAATATTTGGCATTTAAGTGTTTCCCTAAATCTAATCTATCAACTTATTTGCCATTAAATAAATCACACAGGCTACATCTGAAAGGAAGCATTGCAAAAGCTTAATGCAAGCAGGGAACAAATGAGAGCCACAGCATTATGCAACTTGGGTCTTCTCGCTGTTGCTTAACATTTTTTGACGTGGTGAAGAAGGAGGTAGTTAAAATTTTCTCTAAAAAAACAAGGAAATTGATCATTTACTTGATTGCAGTTTCATTTCACTGCACTGTGTTAATGATTACTTGACAACAGGCAGTTGAAATGACTGGACTCCATTAAATCCTCTCGGGGAGAAGTCTTTTTTTATTACAATTGTTTAAAAAGAATCACATTTCTTAGCGTCAACAAATCTTAACTTTCCCATGAGCTTATGTAACCTCTAGTTACATCAACAGCGCTGTAAACACAGACAGGGATGTCAAATCATTGTCAACATAGACGGAACCCTCCTGCTCATGTGCCGGACTGTACAAAGCTTAGTGAGACACGTGTGTGGGGGGGGGGCAAGTAGCTGGCAAACAGAGGTGAGTGCAAAGACCCCTGAGTAACTATTTGACCAGGAGAGGAGAAGTAAACAGACAGCCCCCCTTTGATGGCAGAAAGGCCTCTTTTTGTAACTGCAGTGTTTTTTTTTTTCTTCTCTCTAATTTGTCAGTTGTATTTCAGTGAAGCGAAAGCACTTAAAATATCTGATGTCCCCGGCAGGTTGCAATGTGGAGAATGCATGTTACAACCTGGGTCTATGTGCTGAGAGGACTGCTATCTCAAAGGCAGTGTCCGAAGGCTACCGGAGCTTCAAGGCTATTGCAATTGCCAGGTAATGTCCATGTGTACGTAATGTTCTCTGTCCTTCCTGTCACTCCTCATTCCTCTAATAGCAAACCATGACTCACTTCACTTTTGCTCAGTTTCCTTTTGGATATAATGAAACCTCATCATACTTTGTCCACTACTACTGGGCGCATTATCTCACAATGGTCCCCTGGGCACAGATATGCAAAGGGCCCTGCCAGTTCTCCTACATAAGAGCAAGACACACAAATTGTGGTGGTTTTACGACTCTTTGTAGTCAATATGCTTTGTTTTCTGTGACTTTGTGTCTCCTTGTGGTTGTTTTGTGTCTTTTCGCAGTTTCGTTGTGTCTTTTTGTGGTTTCAGTGTGTCTTCCTTGTTGTTATCTGTTTATTTGACATTTGCTGGTGAAAGCTAAGGGCCCCATGACCTTCTGGGTGCCTGGGCCCCTGGGCCCATGCCCAGTAAGCTTGTTGAGCAATCCATCCTCGCTTACTACACACAACCAAAGTCTATCATGTCTTATTTTTAATTTATTAAAAATAAATTAGCCTGTATTTCAACAATTTACAGCACAGGTAAACTCAATTAAAGTCAACAGCACATCAACAAAATACACCACTCTCAACCAATACGAGATCAATTTAAGCTGTAATATTTACAGAAACAAAGCCTACAAAACAGCAAACTATGGTGTCACATATAGCAAACACAGTAAGACTTTATTAATCATAAATAGTTTTACCTTATGCAATGTATTTTCTTTTAGCTGTATGGGCTTCCTGAGCTCCTGGGACCCTGGAGTTTGAGCCTGATAGACCTGTTCAGTAATCTACCCATGGCTGCAACTAAATAAGCAGAAGCCTGATTTAATAGCTTGTGATGGTGTCTATATTACCCTTGAGAGAACACTGTATAGAACAGAACAACACTAATAGAAATATGAAGATTTATAGTAAATATTCTTTGGAAGATAGTGGGGAAAGTTTAAGAGAGCCAAGGAACCTGTAGTATGATTAGATTCATTATTAAAGCGTCACTGTGAGATACTTTTATCACTTCCAAATATTAAACAGAGGCCTTAAGGTCTTTGTGTTCAACATAAATACATTTCCTCTGTTTCGATTCTCAACCACATTCTTCCTGTTATGTTCCTTGCAGTGACCTGAATGACCAGTTCATCTCCCCGTGTGGTGGCTGCAGGCAGTTCATAAGAGAGGTATGATCTCTGCTTGTCTATTGATTTGGTGCAGTTGCTCAAATTTGTAGTGTGTGATCAGGCGCACTCACAGGAAAGGTTGGGCCCCTGAAAATGTCCAGTGACTGGACCCTTCCCAAATCTTTTATTCATATCAATGCATGCAATATCTCTCCTTCTAACCGTTCATTGTCAGGACCACTCTGAAAAATCATTAATAAGGGAAGCTTTACAAGAGGACTTGACCACTTGCATAATTTCCTTTTCATGTCATTTCCCTTGCAGTTTGGCTCAAACTGGGATGTGTACCTGTCAAAGCCAGACGGCTCGTACCTGAAGATGACTGTGGACGAGCTGCTGCCCGTCTCCTTCGGCCCCGAAGAGCTGTCCATGAAGAAAGTGTTTGAAATCTCTCCTGAGTACTGACCCTGGATTCTGACACCAAACACACACGAGTGGCTTCTGTGAACCACCCTGACATGTACTGTGTAAAACGCACATGCTGCTGAAAATGTATTTACGTTTAGCAGTCATTCTATTTATGGTAAATATTTACTCTTTTATCCGCTGATTGTAAACAATGTCATATTTAAATTTACTCTGTGTATCTGTAATATTAATAAACACAACATGAGGGTAATTGACAAACTATTTGCTGGAAAATTCACTGTGCTTTAATTAGTGATCCATTAATCAGTGGTGGAAGAAGTTTTCATATAATTTACTTATGTTTAAGTTCTATAACCTAAGCACACTGTGAAAATACGTCACTACAAGTAGAAGTCCTGTATTCAAACCTTACTCAAGTAAAAGTACTGTATGTAAGTATTATCAGCAAAATGGCAAAATGTACTTGAAGCATCAAAAGTATTGATTGTAAAATGTTCCCTGTTAGTGTTTCACTACTACATGACATTTTAGATTAATATAACTGCTGCATTAATGTGTGTGTGTTGCAACTGACTGTAGATGTTTAATGTTTGTAGCTTTGCTGTCCTGTGAGAACCACGTAAAGTTTGCCCAACCAAGAGGGTTTTAAATAGTTAATTTAGCTTAAGAAGTACTAGAATTTTCTTAACACATAAAGGAAAACTTGGAGATTTGGAGAAACATGGTTTTCACTGGACAGTAAAGGTATGACAAACTGTAATCTAAAAAGCTGTCAGGCAAATGTAGTGCTGTAAAAAGTACAATATTTCCCTCTGACATGTAGTGGAGTAGAAGTATAAGGCTGCATAAAATGGAAATACTCAAGCAAAGTGCAAGTACCTTGAATCTGTACTGAAGTACATTCCACCACTGGATGCTGTATTGTTGTAGATAGAAATCTTTACTTTAAAGAAGCATGATGGAAAATGGTGTATCGTATCCACATATTTTAATAAATAAACTGTTTTAAAAGGAGTTTCTTTTAATAATTTATATGTCATTTCTCACAGTTGGATATAGACACACATGGACATACAAGAAAGAAAATAATGATTACAAGTTACAGTGTACTGCAAATATTATTTGTTGAGCAGCAAATTATTCGTTTACAAAGTAAAAGGAGGACAGAGACGGGGTGAAGCATTTTTGATGCCAGTGCAAATTCACTAAACATTTATTAGTGATTTTTAGGTCTACGTATTCCATGCATTGACATTTACAGTGGTTTAAGGGCACAGGCTTTAAAAGGGCAAGTATAATGTGGTAGGATTTATCTTTTCCCCCTGATTCAGACAATTGACAAAACTTAAATAAGCAAAACCAGCCCTGGATAAACAGTAAATATAAAAACAAAAAAGGCAGACGGAAAAACTTTGGGTGCCACTGACCCAAAATGATATTTCACTTTATCAGAGTTCAAACGTGGCTGGTAGCATAGTTAATGTTAAACCCCTAAAGAAAACAGCAGCAAGAAATGGCAACTTTGTCTGAACAGGAAAACATAATGATCCTGGTGATGATCCTGTTCAATCGTTAATCATTTAAAAAACATTGCGAAATGTTAATGTTGTTATGTGACTATGCTGATTATTGCTGCCTAAAATGCTGTGAAATTGTCTATGTCTTAATGCCTGGAATCAAAAAAGTTGTGTCATATCTATAACAGCAAACAAAGGTCAAACATTACGTTCACCTGAAGGGTCCTAAAAGTTAAATAATAACAATAATAATAATAATTTATCTATAAAGTCAGTGCATCAGGCTCAGTTTTCAAGCCTTTTTTGTAATAACCTTTTTCCACATACGGCCAAAAGTAAAAACTCATGACAGAGGGATGATAGAGGGCTGCCAGTGGTAAAGATCAGTTCCAGGTCAAAGCTAATGTTAGAGGCTCTTGGTGGTTCATACTTGGGTAGAGCAAAACAACTGCGCTTTCTCTGAGCTGTATGACCTCACGTCACCTAATGAATGTACAGTTAAAAAGAAACTGGAGTTAATCTATAACACACACAGCTAGCTGCAGCTAACGTCTGTACCATAATGCTTATTGGCTGTTAATGAGTGATAAAAAGGGACGGTACACCACCTTCATCTCCGCCTGTGCTGTGTGTGTTAAGATTGACTGTGTATGTCTGTACCGCAACTTTTGTTATTTTACTATATAGTCTCTCCCTTTTTCTGTCTTCTGTCTTTACACAGAAGGCATGAAGCAGCATCATGCAGCGCAGACTTTATCTTTGCCTCAATACGCACAGTTTAAAGGTTTGTGGTAGCACACAACTCCAGGTAAAATAAGACATTCTGTAAACAGGTTTGCAACAGTTCAGTGCGGCAACCTACCTCTGCAAAAGAGAATTTAAATAATGACTCGAAAACTGCAACACTGCCCTGCAGGTTTCTTGCTTAAGAACTTAATTAGGAGGCAAAACCAAAAAGCACATCCGCTACCGTTCACCATTTGTGACCTCAGCTCTCTGCGGAGGAGTTAGTGGCTTCATCGAGAGAGGGCCACGCAGGGACCTGTAATCTGGGCAGGGTGCCCTCCATCAGCCTCTCCATCCACAGTCCCAACCTGTCAAGCTTGTGGTGGACTTCTATGCTGGTGGCCCTACTGGAGCCCCTCCTGCTTCCAGGCCCGTCCTCCCTGGAGTGGGACCTGGATCGAGAGTGGGAGCTGGATCTGGACCTGGACCGGGACTTTCTCCTGCTGTCAGAGGAGAATGAGGTCTCAGATGAGGAGTCATTGGGATCATCCCCTGTGAAGACGGGTCTAAAGAGGCAAAAGTATTTCTTGTAGCCGTTGAGTGCCAGGACGTGGCCTGAGTAGTCTGGAGACTCCTCATCCTCGTCCACATAGCCCTCGCTCCCAGAGGATGAGCGAAGGAGTGACGGCATCCAGTGGCGGTGCTTATCAGCATTGAGGAAGGAGAAGTGGAGTGTCTGAGTCCTGTAGTGATGGAGGAGTTTAGAATTATTAAGTGGACCAAGCTTTGGTTTTAACAAGCTCAGCCAGTCTCAAAATGTATCAAACAGAAACCAGTAAACAGTGTTTGGATAGTCTGTATTCATGAGGCCACTTTCTTTATAATATGTACAAATAAACTAAATGTTCGGCAGCACTGAGACTTACCCAGAGAAAGAAAAAACCTCCTTGGCAAATTTCCTGAGCAGGGCATTCTTGGAGGCGTTAGTGAGCACCAGTACGACGTTGATGTGACCAGGCCTCAGCTTGACCAGGTTGCTGATGTAAGTGATGTCTGTCAGCTCCGTCACTTCCACAAAGTCCTTCTTTGGAGGGCGGCTGCATGGGTCAGTTAGAAAGGGAGGAAAAGTTAGAGGGAGGGAAAAGAAACACGGAAACTATAGATGTTTGATATCTTAATATCGTCGGTGTTGTCTTTTCCTGGTTTTAAAGGCTACATTAAAGTAAAGTGATGCAATTTTCAAAACTTCTCTGGCAGTTAAATGTTTTGCTTCTACCCACTTAGACATGAGATCCATATTACTGATCATTATTTATCAAAAATCTCATTGTGTAAATATTTTGTGAAAGCACCAATAGTCATCTCCATGACATTATGTATTGCTCTATTGGCTAGAGCAAAAGTAAAGCAAAGATGTGATATAAAACTTTAAACCTGATCATCACAGCAACACACTGTAAATTAGCCTGCTGCAGATAACTGTGTACACTTGGCCACATGACAGAAAATACAAATTTATTAACACTATACTGCTGAGTCATGTTTCATTATTAATGTGAACATTTCTTGCGGCGCTATGGGGGCTGCTTTGACAACTCAAGGACGTGCTTAAGTTAGCAAACCGCGAACCCCCCGTGGTCCTGCCAGTTGGATAAACAGCCATTCAACTGCAAAATAAGTTTTAAAAACCATCACTCAGGCAGCCTGTGTGAAAAATTAGGAAACACTGTTCTCTGGTGTCCTTATTTTCCTGTTCTCTGCTGTTGTGGCTCACGCTGTAAATGAAGTAGGCTGCCGAAGATCGACTTGCTGTATTCTGCATCCATCATATGTTCACCTCATTTCACTACATTACCTGGAAGTACTGGCTCTGCTTGATGCATCGTCCTCAGGCTGTGGCGGCTCCTTTGGCTTTGGTTTGCGGGGTTTGCTCTCACCTGGCTCACTGAAAATGCACCGTGAAAAATGGAAATCATCAGTGTGGACACCAATAGTTCTGAATCCAGCCAGTACTAAAACCAGGAATAATCATGTAGTAAATAACACATTTCTATTGTAGATCCAGTTATCATTAAGTATCATTAAGTATGTCATTTTTAATCAAAGTAATTTCAAGTCAAATGTTTCGACACATGATTACAACATTGCAGACGGCAAAGGGATCATGGCACACTCACCTGAAGGCCTGAATGATGACGGTGCCAAACAGAATGAAGAGGGCTGAGAAGATCAACGACAGGATGGGCATCATCTCTCGCCTTGAGGACAGAAAATGTTTATTACTGAGACACGTAGGAGAAAACACACAGCAGCCCATATAAACCAATAACACTCCTTACAGTCTCCCTGTAACCTCTACATATGGCTACATTTCTGAAGGGGTGCATAACAGCTATGAAGGAACACACTACATACAGAGCCTGAACCAGGTAATTATGGCTACATTTTGTTGCCGAAGCATGACTCAGCTTCCGATAAATTTCAAAAAGTACGCCACCCTGTCTGTCTTTGCCTTGTTTGCAATAAATGCTGCAGGCTCTCTGTGTGAGTGTCATCTTACCAGTTGGAGTAGAGAAGGTCATCATATATTTGCAGGATGTAATCATAGGCGGCATTCATCCACTGAATAATAAAAATCTGGGGAGGTTGAAAAGGAAAAACAATGACATGCAGTTAAATGTTTCACCCTGGTCTCAAATTAAGGTGAGCGTGTGTGTCTGCGGCGTCTTACGGGGGCCATCTCGTTGTTGAGTTCTGGCAGGGTTGCGTCTGAAGTCAGATAGGTGGGGTCTTTCTGAAGGAGCTCCAGCTGTTCATGGAGACGGTACTTATCTTCTTCACTGCCGTTCCAGCCGCCACTCACAGAGCGGTATAAGACCTTACCAGCATGGCTCCGCCTCTCGAGAATCACCACCTGTCAGCAGTGTTAAAAAACACTTGTACTGTAAATTGAGGCTATGCAGAGTCTCAGGATGACATATCGGTAATCTGACACATATCAAATTCTGTATGGTCTAAATATAATTTTTTCCAGCAAGTGCACATTGTCTTCAATATTAATTTATACTGCAATGACTGTTCACTATTTTTTAGAACACTTTCAATGACACCTATGTCTATAATGCATTATAAACATAATCTCTTAGTAGCACCATAAAATTACAGTTCTAAACACTTAAAATATTTATAATGCACTATAACAGTGATAATAACACAAAATAAAGCATTTTATAATGACTTATGACTTAAAGTATCTCAATAGCTGAAATGTTTCAGACTTTATCAACTGAGTCATTAGTTTGAGGTTTTTTTTGGAAAAAAATTACATAAGTGAATCATCAAAAAATGTATCAAACTGGAGTACTTGATTTATCTTATGACCTGTTCAACAAATACATTGATCTTACACCATAATGTGTTGTTCTTGCATAGATTTAATGATTTCCCCCACACTTTTTTCCACTTTTTTCCAAATGCAACCAATGCCCTTTTTTTTTCTTCAGATGGGTTCATTTGTGTCATACATTTGATTTTAGGAGCATGTCAGTGAGTTTGCATACAATAGGAAAATAATAATAATAATGATGCATGTGTGTACACTGCATTTCTGTCACTGACCTGAGGTGAGAGTGCAGCCTGATTGTGGAGAAGTGCCTGACAGAGAGGCTGCTGCTGACGCTGGTAGACGTATGCAAACCGCAGCACGTCTTTTTTGTTAACCGATGCAAAGTCCAGGAAGGCCTTATTGCCTGGGAGAAAGGCTTGGTCCTCCCCAGTGATCAGCAGCACACAGTACCTGCGGACCAATCACAGTCACACAATATTTCATTTCACAGTGACAACCACTGTGATGCCTGTCCTACTATTTTGTTTGGATTTAAGCTTCTTACAGAGGCCATGGAATGTTAAAGTCAAATTGGGGCTTAGCTTATATTCTTTTTCTTTCTACATCAGTTCAGCAGTACAGAGATGCCTGCTTTGATCAAGTCTTATAACACAAGTGGTCAATTTAAGAAGAGATATTCAGTAAAGGACCAGATGCTGAGCACTCTGCTCATAAAATGTCTTACTTCCTCCGTCGGTGGAACTGCTTGACAGGGCACAGCTCATCAAAAAGCTGCTGGTTGACCAGCCGTGGCACCTGCAGGAACTTGTTGTTGGAGACGAACTCATCCATGATCTGTCGCTTCATCCCTCTGGCCTGAAAGAGAGAGAGTGCAGAAGATGTGAAGGGCAGCAAGGAAGAAATGTCTGAGTAAATCAGAAGTGAAATTTGGTAACCTAATTCCTTAATTTAAGAATTAATTATTAACAATTATGTGGATTCTTGTTTCAAACTTTATTTTTATACCTGGATGATGTCAACTGGCTTTTCTGTGTCCTCCTTGAACAGCAGCATGGTGGGGGCGTATGTGTTAATGTTGAACTGCCGCAGTAGCCGAGTGTTGCGCGTGTCCCCCTGGTCCACGTAGCCAAAACGCACATAGTTTCTGAAGGCAAATGCTGTTAACTGGAGAGTGGAGTGGGAAGATGAGAGCCTCGAAAATATACACATTAAAATACATAAGAGAAGGTGTAAAAAAAGAGGAGAGGTCAGAACAGACTGAGAGCTGCTTCTATATATACTCATGACTGTGTAGTTTTAACTCAGATATTGAAACTGTGTTCCCATAAGTGGCCCTGAATTATTCTCCCTCTGTTTCTATTAAACACATTTATTGACACTGAGCTATTAAAACAATATTGCCTGTGCATCTGACTGTGATAGGTTAATCGGGTAAAGTCTGTGTAACAAAGGAGGAAATATTGATGCATTAGTAAATGAGAAACAGCTGTTCCCACAGATGCCTCTGCAGTTGCTGTCGGGGTCTAATCAATCTGCTCTCTTTTGTATCAGTAGAAACAGCACCAAAGCTCAGAATATTAACCAGCCTGAAGAGCCACACTGAACAGTTCTCTCTGTTTTCCACTGTAACATTTAGTATAATTAGTGCAACACCTCTGTGTGTGTGTGTGTGTATGTGTATGCACTGCTTACTTTATAGAGGAAGGGAATGACAGGGACTTGGTCAAACAAGAGAACACTGGGCTTGTTTTCCGCACGCCAGCTATCCAGGAAAGCCAAGTAGTTGTTATCTGTGATCTGGAGAAACAATGGCAGCTAGGTCAAACATGTACTCTTGCTAAATTAAATCACAGCACACCACTTTACCATTTGTAAAATGACACTTGATCAGTAATAACTGTAAAATAAATAAAATTCTTCACTGACACACACATGCAGCAGTAGTGTTTACCTTTTCCACCAGTTTCTGGGGCAGCAGGTCTTCAATGAACTGTCGCAGGTGCTCCCGTACCACAGCCTGATGGAAGAAGGTCACCCTGCCGTTCACCAGCCCAATGATGGAGGGAGCGCGGTGAGCTCCCAGCTGGCTGGCCAGGCGCCGCTCATAACCCAGGTCCACAATGCCAATGCCAACACCTGGTGTAACAGTAAAAATAGACTGCTATTGTACCTGATACAGTAGAGCAAAACACAAGTGTTCCCACAATGAAGGGAAAATACGTACTAGATTTAGACTAACTGATTTTACACTTTTAGTTATTTTACATTCAATGGGTCTAAGATGTACCAATATTCCTGCAAAAATCATAGTAGATGTTAAGTAGGAAAGCTGAGCAGTAAAATAATGAACACAACAAACATGTGAAAAGTGAATTCTCTCTTTCACCAAACAGAGACACTGAAAGTCTCAAGGAAGAGTGACTCCAAGCTGTGGGTTTTTTACTCCAGTCTTTGAAATTAGTGAGGGACTGCCTAATGGATATGGTTCATAAAAGATGCATACATCTGTTTTTAGTGTCTCACAGACTCCTGTGTATCCATAGAGCTGTATACCACAATGGCAGAGAAAACAAGCCAATGCTGGCTTTCACATAACCAGAGAGAGAACTTTGCTTTGAAAATGCTTTTCTTATTTTGATTTCACTCTAAACTGGATTTCTGTTAGAAGGATTTACATCTGGTATTGATAAGGGATGCAGTGTGGTAATGTGAAAGGTGTTGCTTATGATGACAAAAAATAAAAAAATCACCCAACTCCTCAGTCCCCATCAACTCTATGTAACTTTTTAGCATTTAGCTTTTAGAATCTGCAACTTTACTGTTTCGGTTCACTCTCACTGCTCTAATCGATCTCATTTCCAGCCACAGAAGGCAGCTGTTCTCTGCAAAAAAAGTGCTGAAGCTCGACAGATACACACTGTAAGCTACCTGCCAGCACCAAATTGTCGACAAAGTTAGCAATTAGCTAACACTGTAGTCGCAGCTAAAGAATCAATTATACACTCAGCAGCACCTTTATTAGGTACACCTCTACAATCAAATGTAAGTGTTGTAGTTTCTGAGCTGACTTTGTCATTAGGAGGTGTTATGCATGTCATGGTGTTCTGCCCCGGTGTGGTCAAAAAGGGTAATTAATGCTGCTTTGAAACTAGAGCTACAAATCAACAAGAGTATTTTTTCAATAGGGTTTATAACAAACAAAACTAAAAATAGCTTTGTGTGCTACACTAACTTTAGGCTGCAGCTTTTAAAAATCTTGACACATCAATTTTCATAGATACTGAATAAATATTCCACTGGTTATGACTTGTGACTTCAGCATAAAGAGCACTGGGTGCATAAATATGCAGGATATTTTTCCAGGGCAGGCCACTTAGTTATTACAGAATAAGAATGAGACTAGGTCTTCAGGGCACTGTGAACTGTACTTCCAATTAGCAGAATTAACTCAACAACTTTAAATTCATCTCCAGTGCCAGACAATTGTGACATGGGGTTGAATTCCTCTCTTGACTTCACTCTTTGTTCCAGGAAAGCAAGAGGAACAAATACACCCTGCTGAATAATGAATGAAATGACTGGCTTTTTTGGAATTACACTGGTCCTAATGGCCTGCAACTGAGCAAACATCAACCTCATGTTATGATGCTTTAAGGAAAACCAACCCTGATCCTAGACAGTGTGCGGGGGTGGACTGATGGGAGTCTAGTGACAGCAGACTTACCCAGTGGTTCCAGCTCCTGCACCGTCTCCTTCCACACAGGCTCGATGTGGATGCATGCAAAGCACCACTCAGAGGTCACTTTGATTAGGTACGGCCTCTTGTGGCTGTCTGGGAGGACATCACTGTTAAACTGCGCGTGATGAAGCAGGTACTTACTGTCGGCAAAGTCCCTGGACCTGGAGGAGAATTGGAAGCAAGACAGTGAGCCTTTTTATAGACAGAGCCTGGAGGGGGCTGTCAGGACATGACCCCAGAGTAAACTGTCTATAACTCCAATTTGTTGAATCATTCTAATTCTCTGTGCACTGAGTTGAGTAAAAAAAAAAAAAAAAGGACAAAAAAAAAGTAAAATTCCACTAATAGGTCCCTTTAGTTTGTTAATCTAAAAAAAAAGAGTGCAACCTTCTCTCCTTTCAGTCTCAAGATTAAAATATTAGGCTGACATCTGAACGCATCAAGTCTGCATCTAACAATTATTTCTAGGGACGCACAATAATATAGACATGTCATCAGTTTTGGCCTATATTGGCTTTAAAATGGACTATTTGAATTGACCAACGTGCTTTTTCTTATTTTGGACAATGAATGAATATTACGTACATTCAAAAGCATTGTATTTCATGTCTCCATCTGCTGGTGGGTCATCATGATAACAGTATGCATGCATAATATGATGTTAATTCCACTACAGAAACGACTTGATGATAGAAGGGGGGAAAAGTGGGTGTATATCAATACTGGTATCAGTTATCGGCCAAATAAACTGTTATGTATCGATATATTGGATATCAGCAAAAAATTCAATATTGTGCATTCCTAATTATTTCATTTTAAATTACTTAAATTTTCACTCTTTAAATTGCTTATTTTGTTTGACTAACAGGCAAAAAAATCCAACATGTATTTCATTCACACTGGTATGAAATGAAAAAAGCAAGCACACCCTCGCATTTGAGAAGCTATAGCCAGCAAATGATTGGACTATAATCAATTTGTTGTCCATTTTACGCTGTATAAAATAACTTCATGTTTTCAAACTGCAGAACTTTACTGTACAAGTTTGCAAAGTGAAATCTAGGACTGGGGCAATAATTGCTTCCAACTAAAAAAACTTGGATCTAGTATGATGGTAGTTTTGCCTTTTTGTTGTTATCAGTAACCAAAAGCAGACACAAGGAGGAGCCCAACCTACACCACTCACTGTGAACTGTACACTGCAGCATGCTGGAAAATAAATACTTAGGAACATAGTTGTTAGAACTTGGAGAAGAAACGTTTTGTCAGATGAAAGAAAAGCAACCTTTTCCCCTCATCAAAAAGGATTTGGTCTAACGCATGCTGGTGCTTTGATTTTGAAAAGGGTATTTACTGTATCCTCAGAGAACTGCTGACAGTACTCATGTAGTCTTCACAAGCATGAGTTCATAGGACATGTTTAACCTGGTGTTTTCTGATTCTAAATATTGCCTAACTAATTGACAGCCTGTACCTGGGGAAATGGAAAAAAGATTCATCAAAGTAAAAGCTGTTGTGGAAGCTGCGGAAACCATGATGCTGTGACTGGCCAAAGGGCTGGTTCTCATCCATCTGCCCATAGCGGTCAAAGTTGGACCTTCGCTCCTCATTAGACAGAATCTGTGTGCAAGAGAAAATGAAAGGCACAAGTGAGAGGACAGTGCTGCTATAACTGCACAGAAACAATGATACAGAAAGTGAAACAGAGTGAGACACATAGAAAACACAGTGAATATCAGCTGGGGGTTGTATGAAACAGTATATGATGTTTTGATGCATTTTCACCCACCTCGTATGACTTGGAAACCTTGATGAACATGTCCTCAGCTTTAGGGTCCTTGTTCTTGTCAGGGTGCCTAAAATAGCCAATACAGGACACCATGGATCACTACAGGGTCACACAGAATTAAATGCTGTAACAGTAGCATGTGACGATTAAAGTCAACAAGCTCCAGTTTACATGTCAGATGGACCCTGATAACTGAACAGGGCTGCCCGGTTACAGTCACAATGTACCGGCCTGCTGCCAGGGGACTCAGGGGACTCTGTGTATCTGTCACTCACCATTCTTTAGCCAGAGTCTTGTATGCCCTTTTGATTTCTGCTTGACTCGCACTCCTGCCTACACCCAGGATTTTGTAGGGGTCATATTCAGATGCCACTCTCGTCAACTGCTCACTCAAAATCAGCAGAAAGATGGCGAGTAAAAGTGGACATGTCCGAGGAGGATAGCGGCTGGTTCTCCCCAGCGTCATGGCTCAACTGTTACCACTGTCCTCGCCCTGCGTTAGCGTCAGTTAGCTACCGAAATGCCCGGTGAAGTAATGTTACAAAGCTACACTGTAGCGGACAAATATGTCGAGCTAAGAGTTTACATAGTCCGCTCTATTGACTTCTTAAATGTTAAGTTTAATACAGACGACATACTAGCAATTTACCTTGGTAAGGCCATTATTTTTCTAGCTAACGCTAAGTGTCAGCGTCATGCCCGCAATGAAACTTCGACTTCCGCTTGCATATTTCAAAATAAAGACCCCCTAAACCCCTTTTGAATCTCAAATTGACTGAAAACGATAGATTTTAGGCAATTAATTAAATTTAAATTACTATTAAACATGTGGGCCTATGAAAGATAATATAAACACTGCTGAAAGACACACAGAATGTGGCTACTCAAAGTGTTGCTCATGACAGATTTGCATTGGCATGTATTTGGTGGGGGGCACAGGGGACATGTTGCCCAAAATTTTAACATGTCCATTTTTTCCCCACAAGGAAAACAGAAAGGTAGCAGAGGAGTTTCATTTTGACGAAACTGAATACATTTCCACCTGAAATTGATGCAGGAAAGGTGCAAATTGGTGCATTAAAATTCATCAAAATACACTCAATATTTCCTGTGTCCAACCTCACTCATTTAAAGTGCACACAGGTAATCACTTTGCAACTGGTAAAGGTAGAGCTCATTTTAAATGTTTTATATACTGCTGGATAGTTTAATCTATGATTAGACATAATCATTTATTAGTTGCTTATATTTTGTATTATCAATCTATGTTTCCAAAGTAACTAAAGCAGACAAATTAATGCTGTGGAGTAAAATGTTCAAGGTTTCCCTCTGAGATGTAGTAATAAAGTAAAGGAGTAAAAGTACAAGGTAACATAAAATGGAAATAACCAAGTAGCTACAAGAACCTCAAAATTCTCTAAATTTTAATTATAGCAGTTGCAAAGTATTCTGTTTTTACTCAATAATAATTTCTAACAACTATTTTTAACATCACAATTCATAATTCATATTGAAAATATAATTTAAAAAAAAAAACAGTTTTTCAGGGGAAATAAGATGCCGGAGTGCATAAAAATGCATAAAAATAGAGCTTGTTCACAGAGAGATTTCACAGGGGTGTGTTCCCAAGACCCCCTTACGGGGATCCGGCCGGGAAAAAAAACCCTAGCAAAAGCTTAAATATGCCGGTCCTACATTCTTATCAATTTAAGATGCCCTCCAAAAATTAAAAAAAAAACAAAAAACAAAAAAACATTCAGACTTGTACCCTTCAAAAGGACCTTTGTAATCCATCATTTGGAAAAACAAAAATGAAATACATTTTTTTAAAGATATATTGGCTTTGTAGGTTACCATAATACGATAAGAAACACATCTCCCTTTAATCTCTATTTAACTTTTCGTGCGGTTAAACGTACAAACACCCCTCAAATCGTATTTGCTCTCCCGTACGATTATACTAAAAGGCCATACTTCGGTGCTTTTATTGTGAAGAAAAAAATATACAACGTCCGGTGTTAATATCTCTATCCAAACTTGACGCTGCAACACTGGAGAGTGGAGATAATGCGCATGCGCAAATCAGTAACTGTCATGAAATCGCTCCTCCTCTTTTTTATTCTTTTTAATGAAATGTTTATTTCTGAATAACCATGTGATATTTAACACAGAAAAACTTTATACAGCTATGTTTTTTTTTTCAATACAAATTACTTTTTATTGAGACGTCATATCAGTTTATAGCAAAAAAAAAGGCCAAAGTTGGTCCTGGAGTAAGTCAGTTTCTTCTCGCGCAGTTATATACGATAATACATTTTTAAAAAATGAATAACATAATATCATACACACAGAAAACAAAAAAAGGTCCATTTGAGTGTTTTGGGTTTTTTAATCCCCTTTTTCTTACGGGGGTTTCACTTCCGTTTCCTCTTCGTCACTGCCACACAGACTTGACTTGGGTTTATACACCAAAAGACAAAAAAATGACCACACCGATACCTGGCTCAACTCACCCAGCGGACGGTTCAACCTGCTTATTGTAACCAACCTGAGTGACACCGGTGAACTCGGTATTTTCCATCTCCCGGTCAGACCAATATGAGCCGCCCGTGTGTGTCTGCTTTCAGCGGAGTGAGCTTACAAAGTGCGCAGAGCGTCTTATCGCGGTAGCTAGCGTTAGCCCTGCAGAGCTGCCGTCTCTGGGCCGCTCTGGCTGCATCACTCACGGGACAGGTACCTTTCAATTAGCCAAGGTAACTAACAAATCCTCTTTAATTATTACTGCTTACAGCATTGCTTTGACACGTGTGTGTACAGTTCAACTACTGAGCTTAGCAAGTAGGTGGTGCTAGGAAGTCATGGGTGTGCAGGGACTTTGCTAACTTGCAAAGCTATCCAAGCAAAATCTAATAATCCAAATGCAAACCTCACTGCCAAACTGTAAAACACAGGAAGTGATGGTGCTACGACTAATTTAATGCAATTTGTTACTACAAACAGATTTTAGACAACACACTAGACATATTTTCTTGTGCTTATGAATGTTTGTTTACATCTGTGATGAGTGTGCAGCCCTAAAACGTGCTGAAGCAAACATGAAGTACTGTTCGATTACTAACTGCACCTTCATTCAGGCATACATCTAAGTTATAAGATTAGAGACACACAACATGCACATTTGTCAGTTATAAGTCAGTCTCTGTGCTCATTCCCTTTCAGCCACCTGATAGTTTTCTGATGATGCTTGCAGAAAAGTCTTATTTGGGTGTTTTGATAGTTAACCTTATATTTGAGTTACATTAACGCTGACAATCTTTTGTGTTTTCCACCCCAGACTCAGCACCATGAATCTGTTACGTCTAGTGTGCCGCCACAAGACAGCTCTGGTCATTGGCACTGTGTGCAGCTTTGCTGTAGTTCTGGTCTTCTTGGCCAAATGTACCTCAGAAACCCTGAAACAGGGCCACCAGGACCCTCCAGGCTTAGCCCCTCATGCCAGCGCTTTGCAGTCCCATCCAGAGCAGCACAATCCCCCTTCTACATCCAAAGACTTGTCAGCATTCCTCGTGGTCCTCATCACAACCGGACCGAAGTACACAGAGCGGAGGAGCATCATCCGCAGCACCTGGTTGGCCAAGCGGGACTCTGATGTTCTGGCCATGTTTGTGGTGGGAACTCAGGGGCTTTCCAGCGAGGACCTACAGAACCTTAACACAGAGCAAGGGCGGCACAAGGACTTGCTCTTACTGCCTGACTTGCGAGATTCTTACGAGAACTTAACACTCAAGCTCCTGCACATGTACTCCTGGCTGGACCAGAACGTGGAGTTCAAGTTTGTCCTCAAAGCAGATGACGACACATTTGCTCGCTTGGACCTCCTAAAGGAGGAGCTGAAGGGGAAAGAGCCCAGCCGCTTATACTGGGGCTTCTTCTCAGGGAGAGGGCGAGTGAAGACTGCTGGGAAGTGGCGGGAAAGCTCTTGGGAGCTTTGTGACTACTACCTGCCGTACGCGCTGGGTGGCGGCTACATCCTCTCCTCCGACCTGGTACGTTACGTGCATCTTAATGCAGGCTACTTCAAGACGTGGCAGAGTGAGGATGTGTCACTGGGTGCCTGGCTGGCACCAGTGGATGTGCGGCGGACGCATGACCCACGCTTTGACACAGAGTATAAATCGCGTGGTTGCAACAACAAATACTTGGTGACACATAAGCAGAGCTTGGAGGACATGTTGGAGAAACACCAGACTCTGCAGCGTGACGGCAGGCTCTGCAAGGAGGAGGTCAAGCTGCGGCTGTCCTATGTGTATGACTGGAGTGTGCCACCCTCACAGTGCTGCCAAAGGAAGGATGGCATTCCTTAGTTTTTGTCCTTTTCACAAGGCCCTGAAGTTGGCTTCTGATTTGTATCTTCAAGTCAGGGGGAGGTTAAGGGATAATTCTCCAGTGTTACACCTTTTAAAGTTATGTAGCAGGTTCCAGCCAACATAGTAGATGCTTTAATGATGAAAGAAACCCCATTTCAGATTTGGAAAACCATTTTTCTTATAGTTACAGTATACGCACACGTATAGTTATACAACTTAAAAGCTTCCTACTACGATGCCTACCTCCAGTTTCACAGTTTTAAAGGGTGTAACAGTGGGGAGTTGACTGAAAAATAATACCCCTTAACTCCCAAACAGGAAGTCAACTTCAGCCTCGTGTCCTTTTCAACCAGTTAACTCCTTTGGCCTTGTTTTTCGGACCTATGTCAGTGCTCTCCTCACCGCCAGTTCACCACGTCGGTGGCCTACTTCTCTCCTCTGTCTGTGCTGCTTCTGCTGTACCTCTTGCTCAATATTTTCCAACACTATTCGATATGTTTCACCATTATTTCAGTGTAGTAGTACTGTACAGGGAAACCAGACAGGAGAATCTCACCCTGCCATGATGTCTACTTTTTTCGTGAAAGCAGTTTTTATTTGTATTTTATTTATTGTTAATTTATTCGGCAGCAAACACAACACACTGGTACTGAGTTGGACAGAAGCACGGTGGCTGTGGTTGCTGCTTGTGAGTGGATTTTGTATTTATAAATGTGTTTGGGGGGAAATCATGCGTAATTCACTTTTTAAATGTAAAATTTTTGTTTACGGTTAACGGTACAACAAAGTTTCATCTGTTTGGAGGTGCAAAGAATGTGTAAGAGAAAATGGTTGAATGTGTTTTATTCAACAGGCCTTCTTATTCCTCATACTGGAGCTTATGTGAGGATATTTACATTTCCAAGGCAGCCGTCACACTTCAGAGTTTAGGTCAGTACTTTTACTGTGTGGAGATATCAAGTTATTAATGTTTGTCTGCAGCACACCACAGATTCAGAATGAGAAACTTGATATAGACTACCAGCCGGCACTTGGTCACTTTTTTAAAACAAGAAACAAAGTTTTAAAGTCCATAAATTATTATTCAACGACTTGTTTTTTTCTGATGTTATGCTCTCCAACCAGAACTTACCCTGTGATGTCACTAGCTCTGTCCTGAAACTTGTGAAATGTGTACAGCATCGCTTAAAGGGTACGATATGACGATGGAGCACCAACATTTAAGAAATGCTGCAAGAGGAGCCACGTCCGAGCTTATTTTTATGGCGGCTTATACGTTTTTTTGTGAACAATGACATGACTTATTTTCTCATTGTTGTCACTAGCAAACCACGATTCAGTACAACCTATGTTTCAGTGTTTGTTTTTACGTATATGGTCAGCCTCCCTGGATGTTTTATTAAAACTTTTAAATGTATTCTTGTTACTTGTATTCTTATATACTCGTTATTTGAAAGGATACACAGTCAAATGCATACACAAAAGTCAGAATTACAGAGATGTAATGTATTCACATGAGAAAATATGTTCTCTGTTTAATGATTATCTCATAAACTCTCGTATTTCTGAAGTAACAAGAGTTTTATCTCATTAATTTAGGGAAAAAAGCAGATTTTTTTATTATTAAAACTTTTATTTCAGAATTCTGAGATAATAACCTTCTTAATTCAGGAAAAACAGATTTTTTTTCTCAAGTGAACGTATTTCACTTCTGTAGCATTGCTACCAACTTGATAAAAATGCTTTTTTAACAGTACTACAAAATACAGTAATCTTACATAGTTTACATACCTTAAATAGCTGCTATATTTAGTGTAAAAACACACTTCTTGGTTTATTATCTTTACACAACACACTTTTAAGAGAAAATACTCTCACAGGAGGATTTTACAACTCCAAACTGCCATTGAAATAAACAATCCATTATACTTCAACATTAGTCTCAAAGTAATACTGATCAATTTTGATGATTTCAGTAGAAATTTATGCAGTTGCCAGTAAAGGATCCTTTTAACCGACTTTGTAGGAACTTGTCAGGGCTCCACGATAATGTCATTAAGTGTCACTTTGCTGTCATCACCAAGAAAAAGTTTGGACCCGTCTCAGGGTTCCCCTCACACGTACAAACTCCGGTATATTCTGCAGGCTCTCACTCCTCTTCTTCTCCTCCAGCTCGTACTGCAAGACAGGAAACATCTGTGTTTGGATATCCTGCTGATTAAGCATTTGCCAATATCTGCATGCTTGCTCAAACATCCCCAAAAAGTAAATAGATTATTACAAACGATGTGCTCCCCCGGCTGTGAGACTTTAAGTCTTTGCTCTTGACTGACATATACTCACGATTTGTATTCTCTGCTGCCTCCTGCGTAGCTTCACCTCCAAGTCGGAGGGAAGTGAGAGGGCCAGCTCCCTCTGCTTGTGCTGCTCTTTCTGTTCCAGCACGCACTGCAGCTCAGGCTTTTTTCTGGGCAGCAGACCTCTGACGACATATGGAAAAAGTTACTAGATAAAGATAAGCAACCCAAAAAAATACCATAAAACTTTTTTCCCTAGAGATGGTTTAAAGTACAAAGACACACTGTTGGTGGGTGTTTAGTTTCTTAATAAAGCTTAAAGGGACAGTTCATCCCAAAATCAACAACACATGTTGTTCCTCTAACCTGTATCACTCTAGATTGTTGTGGTGTTTTTTGAGATATCAGCTGTAGAGATGTCTGCTGTCTCTTGAATATAATGGAACTAGATGGCACTCGGCTTGTGGAGCTCAAAACACCAAAACAATATATTTGAAACACTCAACAGCAATGTCTCTTTCCAGAAATCATGACCCGGTCACTCAAGATAATCCACAGACCTTGTATGATAAAGTTGGGGGATCATCTTGAGTCATCATATCATCATATTTAGACAGAAAGATGTTGAGTTCCTGCTTTTTGTTTATGCTTTGAGAACTACAAGCCAAATTCTATTGATTTTGTTGCAGTGATATGAATTATTTTTGCTTTCTCAGACAGATGAGAGTGAAAGCACCGACCCCCTGATGAGAGATTAGCAGTGAGCTCAGACGAAGGTGTTGTACCTTTGACACGATCAGCGTTAAACCACCTAAACATGTTGCTTATCCCCGACCACAGCGCCGGACAGCTGGGCGGAGGAAGCCTAAGAGGCTTCCCTGACTGAGGCAGCAGACACATAAAGTGCGTATCTGGAGAGCCTCTGCTTTATGAGAGAAGCTACAACCTGTCTTTACTGCACACAAAATGTCACATAGAAAACCAAATCCTTGTCTTTTACATAGTATAAAACTCTGTGGTAAATATAACTTCATTACTGTTGCTGCCTGTGTGGCCTGATCACAGACAGCGCGTACAGACTCAGTGTTTTCTCACCTTTTGTGGCAGAATAGCAGCTCTTGGTGTAGTGATTTGTGTTGGTGAGAAGCCAGCATGGGATTTGGCAGCTTTCTGGGTTGGATGAGGTCACCAGGCTCCTGCTGTGGACTCTCAGTCACCTGTCGTGGTGAGGCCATCCAGCAGTGATGTCTCTCTGACACACATAAATACAAGCCAGCACATGCAGTCATCACCATCCTGCTCAGTTTTTAATCCAGGACACTTTTGAACACACAGTATTACATGAGCTTCTGTGAAATGGTGCTGCTTAGTGTGATGTTATATGTGCTATCATGAGAGGAACTTAAAAGCAATGGGCTATAATTTGTGATCACATGCGGAGATCATGGCATTTGTTTCTTTAGATTCACAAAACCAATTTAAACCTGACATTAAACTTGACAACTGTTTATTTTATCTTACCTTTTCTATTTCGAAGACCCCTTTTTTGAGATATCTGAATAAAGAACAGCAGATAAGTAAGTGCATTTCATCTGCAAAATGAACTTTGACAACTGAAATGGTGCAAATGCAAATCCACACAGACCATTCTGCCACCCATCAGCATATTGTAGCCATTAAATTCAAATCTTTGTCAAACAGGAATCAACACATCTCTACATTCTCACATCCTCACAAAGAAGAAAAGTAATCAGTGCTGTCTTCAGAGTTACTCAGCAATATCATATTATTTACAGCTATGTAGCTGATATGTTAAATTGTCCATAATAAAGTCTCCATGGTTTGTGACTGTTTTGAGTCTTTCATAACAATGGGTGTAGTGTGAGCTTCCTGTTTTGGATTTTACTTCCAATTTTATCAGGGCTTTTAATGTCCAAACATTCCATTCTTTGAAACTGAGCCTAGATGAAACTCTGTCCAACTCAAATATGATTGAATAGTTTTTTTCTTCTTCCCAAGTCCTGATGAAAATAAATATTTACCACAGAAGTAATGATAAAACCAATCTTACCTGTGTGCTATGGTAGAGACGCATTGGTGAACAGAGAAGTGTGTCCTCACAGAAGCAAATGCAGAGAAAGAAGCAGCAGAAGACAGAGTTGTTCTCACGGTGCACGCTGAGCTGCAGTTACAGCGAGGATGATCTGAACAGGTGTGCTTCACTGTCCTGCGATCAAATCTTATTAACTGTCTTACGACCCTTTGTTCCAGCCTTGTTCCCTTCGGGAGAGAAACTTCTGTTGTCTCTAAGGCAGCAACAACATATGGAGGGATTAGGATAATGTAATGATTAAGGATAATACTACAAGAAATACCAATAAAACAAGCATGGCTTTTGTATCTTTACTGTAATGATCCACCTGTTATCACACATACTGAATGAAATAATAAAGTAAACTAAATAAATGACAAATTCACATTAAATTGTACTTTAAATGTAAAGTTACACACCATTGTCCTGATGCTTTAAAGTTATATTCAAGATGGAAAAATAATGCACCCAAGCAGAGGTTGATGAGGAATGTTTCATGGTCCTGAGGTAAAATCAGTGTAGCAATAGCAAACAATCTGACACAACAAATGTGGGTTACGATGTGACACTGACAATTTTAGCCCTGCAAATACATATTAAATAGAGATGTAGGGGATTAAGTATGATCAAAGTGCTGATGACAGTGGTAAGAGGATGGTCCAAATCACGGCAGTGATGCAAAATATGTGCAGTATTAAACAAGTGAAAATACATAAATATTGGGACTACTCAATACATACGTGATATATAAGAGACCTAGGTTTAAGCATGTGCATTGGCATTATGCATCACACAACTCAATGCGACAAAGTGTACAGGTGCATTTGCACATATAGGTGTGCAATAATAATTTTTTCAGCCTGAACATGATACCAGTGTGAGTCCATGCAGTGGGACAGAAACAATGTATTAAGGAGCATATGCACAGTACGCATGCAGTGCAGGTATCCTGATTCAGATCCCTCCTGAATGGCTGAGACTGAGCTTATTTGCACAGAAAGCACTCTCGAATGGCTGATGGCTGTCAGCACAAAATGTTCCATGGTGGACCTCTGGGGATGAGGTGGAGGTGTCTGTATAGTGGTGTCAGCTCATTGTAGTGTGGGTGGAAGCTCAGCTTAATCCTCATCCTTCCCTCTGTTCTGTACAAGGTGTGGCCAGATTCAGGACTGCAGCAGAGCCAGCATTTTTCATCACTTTGTTAATCTCGTCCTTGTCCTCTTTTTCTGTAGGTGCTGCCTCTATGTCATATATGGCAGGGCTGAGTGTGCTGAAGACATCCTGCAAGAAATGAGCAATGAAAGACAGTGCAGTATCTCTATATTACCAGTCCTGTCCATTTTTTTGGCAATATTCTCTAACATCCTCTAAACAATATCAGTGCAGAATTTTAATTTCCTCATTGTAGATGCTGATCATGGTTATGGATTACCCAGAGGAATATAATATAAGAAAAACTAGCTATGATTCAGTTTCTCTTTTTCCAAATATGTCTCAATTTTTACAGCGGTGTCATGCATTAACTTGACCAAAATAAAGAAATAGATAAAATAAAATAAAATTAAAATTAAAAAAAAAACAACAACATTATTGATCATCAACATATTGATGAATATTAATTAGAGTGATTCCAAATTAATAATAATGGTAATTCAGAAAAACAAGAGTAGATTTTTTTTCCTCGGGATTCTGAGATAATAATCTCGATTATTCAGAAAAACTGAGCGGAAGTGTTTTTCTAAAGTGAATGCATTTCGCTCCCATACTATTGCTATGGTGGTTGTGTTGCATGCAATATATTCAATAGGAAAGTTTGAAACAAAAAGGAAACTCTGTACACCTGATGACATTTTCCCAGAGGTGTCATGATAGCGTTAATTTATAGAAAGAGTGAATACAGATAAAAGTATGTGATGTATGAGATTTAAAATGTGCAGTTTTATTGTTCATCATAATGTCCAGTAGATGGCAGTAAATGTTCGATGGACAACAACAAACATAAAACGTAGAAGAAGAGTGTAAGCCAGTGAAACCGGAAATGTCAACCGACTGACTGCGAAGCGAAGAAGACTGCATTATATCTCCACTTCATGCATGACATGATGGATTGTTAATTTAAAGCAAGAACCCGTCATAATACGTCGTCAAAGAGCAAACTGCGAATATGACAAATGGTAGGTCAACTGTGTTTTCCAACTAGTGTCGACAACATAACAGGACATTAAGTTCGGCTAGCTAACGTTACTTCTGGGACGGAAGGCTAACGTGGAAGCTAGGTTAGCTGTAGACGTGGCCCTGGGCTGCCCTGTTATTAGTCTGTTAGCAACTAAACAAATTCGTTCTCACGAAGTTTAACATTTCGCTTGTTTGTTGCAATTATAGAATGATGGTAGAGGTTTGGCATCATTTAGTGAAACGCTAATACCGTATTTTACTCAGGTTGCAAGGTTTCTTGCTAACTAGCTTTAACCAACGGTAGTGTATCAGTGGCTAATGCTAGAAAATAACAGCTATTCATAAGACCACAACTATAATTGAAAAGGCAAGATATCATGTTAGCATGCAAGCTAACTGACTAAACTTTTACACATTTGTTGTTCTGGTCCACTGCTGATGTCGGTACACGAGATTCATGACGTTGCTGCAACTGCAAACAACTCAGGACTTGCCAGAGTCAACAACACAGTTGGTACATGCAGGGTGGAGGGAAAATCCACCACAATTCACGGTTTATACTGAATGTAACTGAATGACTTTTTACAATGGAGATTATATACCTAAAGCAACAGAAACATAAACAGTTAACCCTCAAATCTACATCAGAGCTAAGACATAAATTGAAGGTGTCATGACAGGTTGTTTGGTGTGGACCCTGCAATATAAAGAATATGTGTACAAATATCCTTATCAAATCACAATTCTTTACATTTTATGTAGCAGCAATATGTGTTTTCAATATTTATTTTCTCCAGTCTGTCTCTTTGCTATTCCTCTGACAGATTTTCTGAAATTCATGAAGTAAAACCAATCAGTGCAGCACTGCAGAAAGAATGAGTCTATCATTGTTATTGTTATTTATCGCCGACTCTTGGATTTTTGTACTTATTTGCATGCCTAGTTATATAAGTTTTTTTAAGTCTAATTTTGAAATCTTTAATCTGACTCTTTTTCCTTGACTGCTGTAACACTGGAATTTCTCAATTATGGGATCAATAAAGGTGTATCTTATCTTATCTTATTTTATCTTATCATTGAGAATTTATGTTAGTTTCTGGGATTGTTTTTGTCATTTAATTCAGTTTACAGATTTTGTTTTGTACAGTGTCAATTAAGATGAATAAAGTTAAGTAATGTATTTAGATTTTGGAAGGCAAGGTTGACCGTGTGATATTATTCTCCCCTTCTTCCATAGTGTACTCTTTCGATGGCATCCTGGTGTTTGGGCTGCTGTTCATCTGCACTTGTGCATACCTCAAAAAGGTGCCGCGGCTCAACAGCTGGCTGCTGTCAGAGAAGAAAGGAGTGTGGGGCGTCTTCTACAAAGGTAAGACTGTGACTTCTACACAGAATGTGTCTACAGGGATACCTAAAACTTGAGAATACATTCTTTAACAAGTGGTTTCATCAAAATGAAATCTGAAAGGTAGGAAGATGTGAATCGTATCTTCGACATCTTTTGTGTATCTTCCTACTCAGAGCTGGCTCATTGGCGTACTGGCTTACTTTGCTGAAACTAATCTGTCTTCAGTGCTGTTAGTTCTACCTTTGTACTTCATGCTATCATAAGTAAGGATGTCCCCTATGGAAAAAGGGCCTATTTGTCTTGCATAGGAGTTTTTTCATAGTGGACATTCTTACATACCATGCAGATGTAAACACATCTAAAAACCCTTAAAGCTCATAGTCAGGACTTTAACCTCAGTCATTTTTTCATTTCAAATTTACTATTCTGTTGTGTATATAGTCAGAACAACTCTAATTTTGACACTACCTGAATATTTACAGACCACACTGTGCTGTTAGACTCGTCTTTGACTTCAGCACTCACCTGACTGATAACACATCTGTTTAGATGGTTTGCTATATCCACCTTGTTCTTTATATCCGTTTACCTGTAATTTTCTTCACTCATCCTCTTCCTCCTCCATCTCTCTTCTCAGCTGCGGTAATTGGGTCGCGGCTTCACATTGCCGTGGCGGTTTCCTGTTTGGCCATGGCTTTCTACATTGTCTTCTTGAAATGATAGCGTCAGACTGGACTGGAAAGGACACTGGACGGGTGCAGGCTGGGGATGGACTCATCTCTGTGGTCACGTGCTAATCCTTGTTGGGGTACACCTCCTGGATTACCTGACCGATGAAACCCCGTTTGCCCTGTGGACCCATGTAAAAGACTAGCCAGTGCTGCCCCCTTCTGGTGACTGGGTACATAACTCCTCCCTTGATAATGTGTGTGCACTACAATCATGAAGGGCATCCGCAATCTACTCTACAGTTATTACAGAGGAGAGGAGTCACATGGTATCATTCTGTTGTAGGGTAACACTGTTGGTTGTCTCCATCTACACCCCATAAATATTTATATTGAAGGATGCAGAAGATTGAAGGGCAGTGTGTGCATTATACCATATACCTGTATACAACCCAAAACTAGCCTAGCTGTATATATTTGGGAAAAGATGTGACCAATAGAGATTTGCCAGAGGTTTTGTGTGATAAAACTGAACATGATCAATTCTGCTTGCTCCCAGCTATGCTGTTTTTTCTGTATCACCTCTTGTGTCAAGGGTGGAGGGGAAGATAAACAAAGCTAATATATAAAGATGTTCTTGTGTACACTATATTTTACTTACTCGTAATCTTCAGTGCTGTTGGGCCTCTCCTGAGCTTTGTTTTAGGTTTGAAATACACATTTTGCACAAGTGTATGTTGTATTTACTTTGACATCTGATACTGGATAACCTGTTTTAACTGTCACAAATTGTTACAAATTGAACTGTAAGTCATGTAGGAGTATCACAGCACTATTAACTTTTGAAAGAGGCATATTTCAACGTATTGTTAAAATTGGATAGCTATATCAGACTTGCCTGAAGATTTAAATGCAATGCCAAATAAGGATGGTGCTTCTCTCGCCATCTTAATGACAAACTGTTATTCTGAGTTTAATTCTGCCACCTTATTTTATATTTTTCAAAGAAAAAATAATGTTTTTGGGAGGGGATGCAATGCAATTTTGAGTAAAACATTAATCAGAAAATATCTGTGTTTGTCTTTAAAAAAAAAAAAAAAAAGTTAGATCTCAAATGACATTCAGTGCCTACTGCAGTATATCCACCGCAGTCCCTTTTGAACATTTTTCATGTTTTATTGATATGATTTCAGTCACAGTGGGTGTAATTCTGACTTTTTTGCACTAATCAACAACACAATAAGGGGAAGTATCCTCCAAATTAGTTTATTTGAGGTACAAAGCTGAAATAATTCAGTGTATACATTTCACCTTCTTCAAGCTAGCATTTAGTTGAGGCAGCTTTGACTGCAGTTACATCCTTGAGTCTGTCCTATGTGGATTGATCCACATCAGATTTGTATTTGTGATCACTGCATTTTTTTTTCTTCTTTGCAAAACTGCTCAAGCTCTGTCAAGTCACATTAGGATTGAGTCATTCCTGGTCGATAATGTAGTTATTTTTAAAATGATGTATGTGCAGCGTTGACTTCACTTTTGGCATTGTCTTGCTGGAAAAAAATAAATCATCTCATTTTTTCCTCCAAGATATCTCAGTATTTCTGCTGCAGATAAACCCCCGCAGCATGAGGCTGTCCCCACTTGTGTCATGGCTGGCATTATAAATTTCTTCTAATGTTCGACTTCAGGCTATAAAACTTTCTTCCACATGTTTTTCATTCTCACATTTCTCATTTCACAGACTTTTTACCAAACAGGCCAGATGTCAGTCCAAGTTCTTCTCTAACAAAGAGTGTACGACTAGAGGAGCACACAGACAATAGTATCTGTGTGCAGTAGGGTTGCAGTGGTATACCGGTTTTAAGGTACATCACAATATTAAAATTTACAGTTATACGGTGTACATTTGCTTATATCTGATAGTGAAAAAATAATGCAACTGGACTGAGAATCTCAATTTTATTTTAGTAATTTTCAAAAGGGACACTTTTTACAGAAACTTACATTTAAAAAAAAAAGTTTCAAGTAGGGTTGCAGCGGTCAGTCTCAACTTTATTTTACTTTATACACATTTCCATTTGAAGAATGATTTCGAGATTCAATCATAGTAATAAAATGTTGTTCAACCCAAAATAACCCTTTTGTTTTCAGTCCTTAAAGGTAGTTTTGTCATATAAAAATAATAATAATAATTCTGTAATACTGTGATAGATGATACTGCGACATTTTCTGAGACAGTTATCGTGCTGTGAAGATCTCACACCATTGCAGCCCTATTATGCAGTGTCTCCTATCTCACCCAATGAACCCTTTACCTCCTTTACACTTAACAGAAGCCTCTTGGTGGCTTCTGATTTACTGTATGACTGTGCCATATTTGCAGTGGTTATGAGTTACCTTACTGTGCTCTGTACTTCACTGCTTTGGAAATTGCATCATATCCATCCCCTGACTGGTACCTCTCAATGTCATTGTTTAGGCGAGACATTTTGACTCATTACAGTAGAAAAGCACAGCTGTTATTACTATGCATGTGTAATATGCATGCAAAGTAAAAACCATCCCCAGATTCACTCATGTTTGGTGTTTTGTCCCACTATATTGATGTTTTTCTAACACTGTGTCTCTCAGATGCCTGTGGCTTACAGTCTGGCACTTGGTTGCTATCTTTTTATGAAGCCCAGACCTCACCTGAGTGCTGTAGGGGGTACATACCCATACACATCTCAAACACTGAAAATAAGAAAATGCATGCAGAGGGCAGAGTCTCTGCAGAAAAATACACCACCACACACTTCTAGTGGGCTGTAAGTGATGATTGAAAGGGATTACTTTTGTATTAGTCTGTTGTTTTTTAAGGAAAGGGCATAATACATTTTTAACAAAGGCTCCATTCTATTTAAGTGTCCCAGTAAGCACAATACCAGAAACTTGAAACTGAAGCAGCTAAATTATTTGCTTTTCATACTGTGACGCATCAAAATTTCTTATGTGAAAACGGTCTGTCATTTTCCTTTGTGGAGTTTTGCATATTGGCCAATCAGCTGTGGGATGTTCCCTTGTATTTAACTCACAGTGGTTTGCCACACCTTGATTACACACTGGTGGTTTCCATAAACTAATTATGCAGTTAATGAAAATAAATTGCATCACTTTTCCACATTCAGGTGTGTCATTTTAAATGTAAAAGGTACTTGTGCAATCAGGTATGTGTTATCATCTTTATATAGTTGTTTTATTATAGTTTTAGGTATTATTTGTTGATTATTATAAAAGCAAATCTTAATTATTGAGTTCATTGAGTTGTAAGATATAAAGTCCAAGGGGTAGGCAGTGTACATTATTTTGTATTTCTTTTAAACATGACGTAGTTTCCAGTCAGATATCTTTCTCTTCACACAGGTGTGATTGCACTGTATGACGTCATTATATCTGAGGTACATTCAAACAGGTAAAACATGTTAAGTGTTGACTATCAGACTGTCAGAGGGAGATTCCGACTCATGTCCTCGCGGATATCCCCTGCTGGTTTCTCAATAGCGACCCAGCTCTCGCGAGAAAATAATTATTGGCGGGAGCGCGCAGTCAGTGACGAAGGGACGTCCGCGTTCACGTTTCCGCGCGCCAGCAAAGCGAGACCAGTGCGAAAAATTCACCGAAAGCTAGTCCAGACTGCTTCCTGGCCCGTTTTGTAGAGGAAGTTGTCTCCGAGCACCCCGACGTGCACGGAGAGGAGGGGATTTTCTTTCTTTGCACAACTGCCCCGACATTTGCACACGAACTGGGCGGGTGAAGTTTTCTGCGTGATTGAGGAGCTTCTCGGTGTTTAAGTGTTATTAGGGAGCAGCAGCACACCGCGTCGTGCCACACGGGAGGAGAGGAGAGAGGGCAGAAGTTTCCGCTGGCTTGTTTTGTCGCTGCGCGGCTGCTAAATCCACAGGAATGTCGCAGAAGGAGAGACCCACTTTCTACCGACAGGAGCTCAACAAAACCGTGTGGGAGGTCCCGGAGCGGTACCAGAACCTGTCTCCAGTCGGCTCCGGTGCTTACGGATCCGTATGGTAAGCAGTTGTTGCAGAGTAGTATCGAAAGCAGCGCGATTGCACAACGGGTTCCCAGCACCCACAGAGGCCCGTCAGAGTTGCCTTCTCACGGGGTGCTTATCAGTCTGTAAGGGTGCCAGTGGAAGAATATGGTACTATCAGCTGTGCCGTTTGTTTACATTGTCATACTTGGGCTGCTATGAACCGCTGCCACATCGTGCACGCTTCGGGGTGGCTCGCGTTTCTTCGGCGGGTGGGGATTATTGTTGTTTTTGTGCACATTTTTGCTTCGCTGTCTTGCTTAACTCTGCTCCTGTAAACACCTGTGTGTCCCGCTAGTTTCCACTAACCACACTGACAGCTCCAGATCATGTCTTACTGGTGTTAAACATGCAGACAGGCTGCTTTTTACTCGGTTATCAGTCTCCTCAAAAGAAGCTGATCAGTGGCATGTCCCTGCTTGCATCATCTGCCAGCGCGGTGCCTTCTCACCAGATATGATCTGAGCTCATCAGCAGCGAAGTTTAACCAGCACATAGTGAAACAATCGCCTCCCACTACAATAGTATTGTAGTCCTGCACGTACAACCTGGTGCTTTACACATCCGCACATTGCATGCATTATGCATTTTCCAGTTGGGTGCAGCCTGCAGAGTACCAGAAGGTCACGTGGTTTTCAGAAAGTAGGCCCCCTCGTGCACAGTGAGAGCTTTCTATATAGGAGCCCATCCGACGACGATGATGACTCTAGAATGATGTCACCCTTTCTCCCGTTGTGGTACACCCATGAGTCACAGTCCCGAGGTTAGGTAGTGGCCTCAGCTGTGACGCCTTTTAGTCATCACAAAGTCACGGATGGCATGGTGCCGTCACTTTAACTTTACCGGTAGCTCTGACCCCTACTTTAACACCTTCACTTATTAAGTGTGTGTGGGTTGTGCAGTTATTATTAGTGGTGAATGAAGGGTTAACCATGACCTCATTTTGTACTTAAGGCAATCACTGGGCATATCTGCCAGTGTATATGGAAGGCGTGCATGAATACAGTGGCTTCATTATAGAGATATGTGAGATACTGTGATGTATATTAATAACATGCACTTATGTCAGGACCAGAGGGGTGCTGAAAATGAAAAAGGTGTGTTTATCTTCCTTTGATTAGGTTTTTTAAAGGGTGAGTCTGTGGTATTCAGGGACATATATTGGCAGAAATGATATATAAGACTCATAACTATGTTTTAATTAGTTAATTATCACCTGAAAATAAGAATTATTGCATTTTGTCATAGAATGAGCTGTTTACATCTACATATGGAGCGGGTCCTCTTCCACACAGCCTAGAGGCAACAACTCAAACACTGGCTCCAAAAAGGGCCATTTGCGTTTTTCGTGTTGGCCAACACAGTTCTCCTAAATGCTTGGCACATGGGAGAAGTTTCAGTTCTGCAACTTCACCGCAATATGCCACTTAATCCTACACACTGGACTTTTAATGTCTGGCCTGATGCACCACAGTTTGCACAAAAAAGTGGGAGTGAGAATAATAGTAGCACATAAGAATCAACATTCCAAGCCCTGCACAATTCTGAATCCATTTCACAAATGCCAAAACAAGTTTTGGATGTGTAAATAAAGTTATGTTAACAGCACAAAAAAGTATAACTGAGCCCGAGAGCACACCATGCAGTATGGAAATATATTTATGACAAAATTTTGGAATTTTGGAAGAAAGAAGGACAGGGGGATAGATGATTTGAACATGCAGGGTGACTTGTGTAGCTGTAATTGAGCCAGCTATGGAGGTTCTCGCACTTGTAATGATCAAAGTTTACTTTTGGCAGTCTGAATCTCCTGAGCTCAAACTCAAACAAAGCATAACAGGTTCAGTTTGACCTAAAAGTGAAGACTTGTGTTGTTAGATGCTTCCTTACATTTTCAGAATAAAAGCTGGGACAGTCACCTGGTGGAGAGCAGCATTTGGCATCTTTATTATTATAATAAAAATCTAAATGCATTGATGTTAAATTACTAAAATCACATAGAATTTGTTGGCTCATTTTTAAGAGTAATTTAAAAGTCAAATTAAAAGTCATTACTATCTATCATAGTGTCCTTTTTAATTTGGTGTTAAGTTGTATTTCTAGTCTTATTTTCTTAACCAGAGGGGTTTTCTTATCTTTTACTGTCCACCTTTATGAATACTTTTAAAAGACAAAATTAGAACCGTATTGAACGAGGCTCACTGTCACTTCTGAACCTAATATGGGATGGTTGGTTTACTGGGACCTGATCCAACTTGTACTGGATTTAAAAAAGGAATGGTTCAAATAAATACTACTACCAATGATTATATTATTTTAGAATGACAACGTTTTACAACAGGCAAGGCACAAATCTGACGCATGGGTAACACTGTGAGGAAATCTGTTGGATCACCAATATTTGGCTGAACTCTAACCTACAGTGCAGATCCACACGGCCACAATAACTGAAATTGTAAGTTAAATGATAAGGCATATAGAATATGTAAATCCCACTGTGCTAAATAGTCATATGCTCCCACATCACTCCTTACAGTGGAGCAATACATTCAAAAGCTGACTCTTTTACTTGTGCTGACTTTAACACTGAAAAAGACATGACCCCGATGTCCAGATATGGGTGTGTCTTTTTACAGCTTGCGAGGTTGGCAAGCGACCTCTTGCAGCCTTAAGTGCGCCAAAGCTCCTGAAACAGCTGGAGTTAATTGAGGGAGCAGACTCTGAAACAAGCATGCAGATGATCAGGATTGCACACTCAAATTTGATTCTGCTCTCACAAATCCAGGCCTCTGTGCTCTCAAATGTTGACTTGCAGGCTGAGTAGTGTTCAGGATTTGTTTTATGCTCCCAAACATCTCTTGTCGTCAGTATACTTCCTTACCTGCCATACTCCAGAACACACACTCAGCTTCTTCTTCTCTTATTCTCATACAGACAAAAGACTGTAGCATGCTTTCAAATTAATGCAGTCAACATTTTGGCTTCTGGCCAGAAAGGGACCTTCATCGTGAACAGTTTGCTTAACTGCCTAACCAATTTGTAGGATTCTCAAAGACCCCCATCTCCACAAACAAGGCCACATGCATCATTCATTCTGTCACCTGCAGCTATTTTGTAGTTGCCTTTGAGGAAATTCCTCTGTATTTTCCTCTATTTGACTAGATCCCCAACCAGTACAAGGAGTTGTCAGCCTGTCTCTTGGAAACATCTCATGATCACAGAGCCTTTTGAATACTACAACTTCACAATAAATTCTGAAGGCGAAGTGGTCCAAACAGCAGGGTGTCATTAAAACCCTTCAGAAGGTATCTGAAATGTATAAATAACCCCACAGCACCATGTCACGGCTGTTGGTCAGCTGGACACACGCTCTCAGTCATTCACCCGGCAAACTCTTTGTTGTTGCTGCCACGACGTTCCTCCTCTTGAATTCGTCCCAACTTTTAAATATGGAAAGCACGTACTACGCAGGGTTTTAAATCATGTTTCTCATCAATCTGCCACTCAGATACAAGACTTATTAGAGAAAAAACACTTCTGCTTTCGCCTTATTTCTGACCTTTGTTCTATTATATGAATGTCAGACTTGGAGGTGGTCCAGGGTTAGAGTGGAAAGAAAGCGTTTACAGTGAATGCCGCTGGCTGGGATTACAGTATGGACTGTATGTTGAGTGCCTCGTGTTGTTCGGTCTTCCTCAGCTGAGAGGAAACAAGCACAGAAACCATACAGGCCCACGGGGCGTGCATGTATATTAAATCAATTGCTCATTTTTTTGCTCAGTGCAGGGAAATGAATCATGGCTTAAAAAGTATAAATATTTCAGGCTTTGATGAAATCAAAACAATAATTCCCCAGCTTATAACAAAGTGCATGACATATGCACAGACAGCTAAAAACATCTATTGCTAAATATTATTAAGGATTTAATAAACATTTTAAAGAGATAAGATGTAATTATAACACAAAGATGTAATTATAACACAAATTTAGAGTGGAAATAATCACTGCATGCCTCAACAACAACACTTTTATTCAGAAGCAACAGAACTCATCACAAGCAGTTATTGATAATCAGAACATGGTTCTCTTTTTAGAATGTTTCCTGCTTTCAGATATTCATGTGTTTGGATATTTCCTCATTCCCAAAACATATTTCAAACTGCTATCAATTTGCTTAGACAACAGATTTCGACAGATTTATATCACAAAAAGTTTTCTGCACAAGGTGCTGTGGTAAAAACATGTGCCTTGCTTGTTGCCTTGGTGTCCTTAAATGTGTCAGTGTACCATGAAAGTGATTCTTCTCCCTTTTTTTTGTTACATTGCCAGCAAGTGTTTATTTAGTTGGCTTTCATGGGTGTGTTTATGGTGTTTATGTCCCGTAACAGCCTTTTATATTGTCTTTACAGACAATATGTAGCATCAGGTATTCTGCTGATAAAGACAGGGTTGTGTGATGAGGCTGATGTGGGGAGAAGGTGCAATATTGTGGCAAGTTCTGGCTGACGCAGTCGATTTTAACCTCAGAGAAATGTACACTGACTTGTCAGCTGTACAAACAAACAGGAGGCTTAAGTGTAAAACCAGCAATTTTCAGTCATGTGAGGTGCGTGGCTGAATGCATTTGTGATGTCAAAAGAGTAAAACCATTCATTTTGGTTTAAAAACTGTGGATCAGGCTTTGGAGCCCCAGTATGTCTTGGCATGCAAGACACCACGAGTGCTGAGATGCCCAAAGACACAACTTTATGCAATTTTGTAAACTCCATCATTTCAGCCTTTTTCAGTTACTCTGTCGGACCAGTGAATTTCTCTATTAAAAGTATTTTTAAAGGACTAGTGTGTAGGATTTAGTGGCCTACACACTAGTCCTTTAAAAATAGATTAAGGACTAGTGTGTAGGATTTAGTGGCCTCTGGCAGATAAGTTGCAGATTGCAACCAACTGAAACTTCTCTTGCGTGCCAAGGGTGTAGGAGAACTTGGGTGGCCTTTGCGAAAATGCAGATGGCCCTAACAACATGGTGGAGTTTGTGGAAGAGGACCCGCTCCATATGTGCATTTAACGCAATGAGTCGTAGTTTCAGGTGATTCTAAACTAATGAGAACAATAATGAATTTTTCATACCATTTCTGCCAGTTTAGCCCCCGAAATCCTATTGGACATTTAATATATAGTTAGTATATGACACTTGTAAATGCTCTCTATAGATAACAGTATGTAAAACATTGAAGGTGCATGCATGAACATAAATAGCCTAACAATTTGCCCATGAAAGCTATGACTCCAGTTCTACAAAACATTTAACAAACCCATTTAAGGTGGACACACTTTAAGACTCATCCTTCATTAAGTATTGTAAGAAGAGTAACTGCTGCATCTGAATCACTCACAGATGAAACGAAACTTTCATTGTCTTTCAATGTCAAGTAAATGAAAGAGGCGTACATAACTCATCAGTCTTGATTGTCAAACTTGTGAGCAGAACTCCCTGGACCACATACAGACATGGGAACCAGTTTATCTGGGAGATCTGGGAGAGGAGGCATAGTTGAGCAGTTTGCACTGTTAGCAGAGCAGATCAGGAAATGAGCGTGTTTATGTGCCCTATGATAATTTAATTAATTTGGATTATGTAAATACTGACATTATTGCTGCTGCCGTGCAAACATCTTAACCACGTTATATTACTGTCACTAAGGTTGCAATCATAGAAAGCTTGGCTCTTCAAACACAGCCAGGTTAATTTTTTATTTATTGTTATTTTATATGTTTAATTAAGGGGGGCTGTGGACAATCATTAACTGTCCCAGACTTAGCAAGATAGCTAAATCCCATCCCCCCAGCCATATGTACGTTGATGAAAAGTCAGTGTTAAAACAGATTTACCTTAATAACACTATATGTCAAACAGAAGCATTACTGTGCCTCAGGTCATGGTGTGCATAATAGAGCGTTTACTGTTAAAGATTAAGGTGCATCACTATAGTGAGATCTGATGACTGATGTGTCCTTTAGCTACAGGAGAGCCAGATGATGATAGGGAACATTGAATTGATTACTACTAAACATCTAAAAACATGCTCATTAAAAGCATGTTCCCCATCTCCCCTCTTGTTACATTGCTTTTGAGTCCACAATGTTCTGCCTGACTGTCATCACATGGCTGTCAGTTCCTGTCATAACCATAAACACATTACAGAACAAGTCTTAATAGCTACAGACCCATATACCTGCTGCTGGTGTCCTTTCCATGATGACTGACAGGATTTGTTGGTCAGGTCTGATTTTTCTTCTCCTCATAGTTTATATGCACAGATTTATATGCAGCTATGCCCTAAAAAATAAAAGCAACATTCTAATATGTGTCGAAGGAATACCCAAATATCCTCTGGAGTACTTTGTGTATTGTTTTTTTTCTGTCAGATCATACAGGTTAGATTGGAAGTGCAGCATTTGACTATTATTTTAACTAATGGGGTTAGGCATTCTTGTTTGACTTGGTATGGATGACTAAGCAGTTCAATGCTTGCAAAACAGGTTGTATTTTATTATCACTCTATTAATCATTTTAGCGTGCACACAGATGATTTAGTGTTCCTTCCTATGGCGCTGCTTTTCAACACCTGTGTCAGTATACGCTTCCAATATGGGGTTGACCCTGACATTAGATTTAATGCTGAAAGTATTGCTAATTAGATTTACAGAGGATTAAAAAATATTTCTTGAGTTTTGTGAAAGTAAAGATGACACATGACATCCCAGATGACGGAGACAGCATATTGCAGTCTTATAAAATTTCGGTTCCTCCGGTAGCTGACGTAAATTGCGATCAGTCAGAATGAAGCCGCGAGGCTCGTAATGTGTGTGCCAGGATTTTATAGTGCCAGCCGTGTTCCTCAGCATAAATACACCCCCACGTTAGATTCTGATAAGCAGTCTTACTCATACATACATAGATATGCAGATTGGACAAGGTAGGGAAAAACATCATGAATGCACCGGATGATTTAAGCTGCACAAGAAATGCATCCCTGTGTTGGTGACTGTGGTGTAGAAGCCGCTGTCGGCAGTGATGTGCCAGCCTTTATCCTTTTGTCTCTTTAATCTCTTGCGAACCTCATTTCCTGAAGTAAAGTGAATTGATGGAAAGAGGAAGGACATAACACTTAGACATCTCCACAAGTCATTTGAAGTACACATTTGCCTGTCTTCTTCTGACAATCACTCCTTTCCCCATGATCCAGGTCTCATAACGCTGCTCTGTTTTACAGCACGCGTTTTTATGGCCATGTGTTATTGCACTTCCATTTATTACACACTAATTGGATGATGTATGCTTAGACCTGTCTTGTTTGTCCTGCAAATTAGCAGCAGTTTTTTAAAGACAGTGCATGTGCGTGTTTTGTTTTGTCACTTGGCTTCGGTATACTCTGTGTTAACTGAGTATGGGTTTTCCCTTACAAGTGACACATATACCAGTTGTTCGGCGAGCCGGGAACATAGAGTACACTGGGTGTGGGAGATTATCTCTGACTTACTGGGAAAAAAATGTGCTGCTTATCTTAATGTTCTTAATATGGACGCGTGGCACTCCAGGAGGACCTTAACTTTGTGCACCAACGCAGATTTATTTTTAATGCTACTACTGGTCGTGTTGTACACTGAAACACAGGTATCCAAGTCATGCCGCTGAAAGGTCGATAGTTCAGACCTCTTAATCAGTTTGTGCAATATGTCCAGAGGAAATGACTCCCGTTTCTTACGGTAAAATGTAGTGTTGACATGGCCTTGAACCAAACTCCTAACTGGAAGGCCACAGTGCAGCTGAGACTGGGTCAGTAGTTCATATAGTTCACATAGTTTTAGTACCTTGCACCAATGTATGAATGAACACTCCCTGCAAGTCATCTGCATTCATTTTGTGAATTCAGTAGTTTGCAAAAGCAGTTTAATGGAAATAAAGAAAACCCTCATTTCCACATGTCAGACCACAATAAGAAGAAGCAATACTTCTCAGCAGAAACGGAGCACAGAATTTTTTTGACTGATTTTGCAATCATCCATTTGTAATACAGCTTAAGTGATTGACCTGGAAGGAATGTGGTTTATTGTAAGTGGGTTGTGTTCCCTCACACGCACAGGAAATGCAGCAATGTCACACTTCTCAAGGAGGCAAGCCCATCTGCCTCTCTTTCCATCACCGTCACAACGTCTGTCTGTGTGTGGACCGACCAGTATGTTGATTTTTACAGGTTAATCAATCCTAGATCCTGGCAAAAGGATGGTTGCTATCAACCCTTAGAATATGTGCTGCAGTTTTTAATAAAGGTGCTTGCTTATTGCTTATTTTAAAGCGCCCCTAGCACATTTCACCCTCATCTTTTATGCTACACTTCCTTTGTCTCTGCCCTTTTTGCCACACCTGTTTCTTTTTCCTTCCTTTTTCTTGTACACTGCCTCCACGGTCACAATGACATATTCTGTTACATTCATAACAATGAAATAAGGAAAATAGTGAATGAAAGGATGAATGATGACTAAAGCAAACACAACCAGTTCCAGCAGGATTGCAGGACAGGCCATGATTTTGAGGGATAGGAGTAAGATATGCTAAAATAAGCCACTGTTAACAGTTATGTAGGCACCAGGGGTAAATTGGATCACATAGCTAATTACTTTTTCATGAAGTGCAGTTGTTACATTCTTTTTTTCATATCACTAAAAAAATTGTTTTGTTGTGATGGATTACAAATAGACATGTTGTAGCCAGCAGGTAATTTCCTGAATGAATCAAGAGTAACATATCATCAAATGGTGCTGTAATCATAGATTTTCAATTTCTGGTGTCGAGTGGTCATCATGACAGTTAAAGCACCAACACCCTGGAACATGTGAATGGCATCAATATTAAAATGGATTGTCTAACTCTGTCTGAACGCTGCTGTTTGTAAGCAAATGTTCACTGACCAACATGTTCTCCTATTTATTCTTCTTTTAGTAAATGATTGGTGGCTTTTTACACTCTTCTGTTGTACACAATGCAGCTGATATTTACAACAGGTTCAGTCATGTTCCCCTGTATGGCCCTGGGCTGCAGAGTATAACAAGAAGCGAAACCAAACCAAGAGCTCGGTGTTATGCAATTATTTGCTTTGTTTACTGGGTTAAAGCCACCTACGCAGTCTAGTGAAACATCTCATTCTCAGTTAAATAAAGGGAAATCTTTTAGGTTTTGGATATGACAATTACTATTAGACTCGTGATGTGCTTGCTTTTTTTTTCTCTTTACAATCAAGGTCTTACCGGTCACACTTTGTCTTTCAGTTCGGCGTATGACGAGAAGTCAGGCCTGAAGATAGCAGTGAAGAAGTTGTCCAGACCCTTCCAGTCCATCATCCATGCAAAGAGAACCTACAGAGAGCTGCGGCTGCTCAAACACATGAAGCACGAGAATGTAAGTCGCCTGCAACCATCCCACCCTCACCTCCACCGCCCAGACATAAATCTCTGCCCAGGGCCTCACTCCTGTCTTATTTATATGCATTGTTTTGTAGTTTAGCTCTTAAGCCAAGATTGCATATGTGTGCACATGGAGTTGCACATGAGGTTTGCACAGTGAGTGCAAACATGTAGACGCAGGCACGTTACACCACTGGTTACATTGTCATGCTGTCTGTATCCTGGTTGACTTGTAGCTCGTAATGATTGCTGGAGCCCATTAAGATCTGCCTTTAGCATAGTAGCTATGTGTATGAAGACCATAGAAATAGAATTATTAGAAAGGACATTGAGCTGTTTGTCACGGTCATTTGATGAGTACAAAAGAAATTGGTAATTGTTATGAGTTGCTATGGTGACAAGGCACGTCAGTGGGGCTGTAAAGTTTGTCATTCACTAGTTTGAGAATTGCGTTTTTTTTTTTTAGCTTATTCTTACATTTATTTTCCTTGTTAAACATAAAAATACAAATTTATTCTAATCCAAGGACGCATTCACACTGGCACTATTTGGTCCGCTTTAAACGAACCCTGGTCCACTTCCACAGATTGTTCGGTTCGTTTGGAGTGGTTTGATCGCTCATTTGAACTTTGGTGCGGACCAAACGAGTGAACCCTGGTCTGCTTGAAAACTGGGGGTCTCAGTTCATGTGCAAGTGAACCCTGGTGTGGTTCGCTTACAGTGGGAAATGCAAACGGACTATCCAGCGAACCAAAGACAGGAAGTGACGTAGAGTGCATTGCATTTTGGGTAGAGAAAAAACAAAGCCAACAGCGCAAACTGGGAGAAGCAGCCGTAAAGAAGGAAAAATGTCTCATGGGTAGACGTGGAGTAGTGTGGAGGTGCAGGTGCTTACCCAAAGACTGCATACATTTGGTGTTGCTCTATTGTTTTTGTGGTGATCAAGCCGGCTGAAGGGGGAATTCCGTTTCGGTCCTGGCCAATCAATGAGCCGGGTTTTCGTCTTCCTCGTGCTTTTTTTCTTCCTGGTCAGTGGTCATTTCGGACAATAACGCCCCCAAACAAGCAGCTGTTGTAACTGCGTAACGTTGTCCAGGCGGTTTGGTCCGCTTTAAAAAGTGAAAGTGCAGTGTGAAAGTTAGGGTTGGGTACCATTCATAATTGAACCGATACGGTATCTGGAATTCGGTACCAGTACCAAAAGGTACCTTATTTCGGTACTTTTTAAAGTCTAAACTTCTCAGTTTCAACATTTTATTGAGAACATTTAGGAACAGTGCTACACGTTAACTTTTGTCTGCACATGCATTTATTTTGAAAATTCAATAAAAAGATTTAAATAGAAATAAATACAATTCCTTAAATTGGAAGTGTTTACCCCACCTGCCTTGCATGTTGTGTCGCAAATATTGCAGCGAGCACTGTCTCTGTCGACTGCTGTGAAGTGCAGCCAGACTTTGGGCCGCTTTCGGCTCGCCGTTGTTGCTGAGTCTGAGGTGCGAGTGATGCGCTCTCGATCCACCTCCACCTCACGTACCGAAATTTGGCACCGATTCATTTTAAGCTACGGTAGTACCGATGTGAATCGGTACCAAGTACAAAAAGTACAGAGTTTTGGTACCCAACCCTAGTGAAAGTGAACCGAACCAAAGGAAGATGTAAAAAAAAATTTGGCATTCCCCATCCAATCAAACCGAGTCCCCTGGACTATCCTGGTGTGAATGTGCCCCAAGTTTCTCTCTTTCACCAAACTAGCTTAATTGCCTTGTTAACTCAAGTAAGATCCCATTAAGTCTGCTGATCTGCATGCTGATTATCCCTGTGGCCTCTCTCAGACTCTCAGCTGTTTGCTAAGCAGCAGATCTCTCACTTGTTTTACGGAGGCAGCTACAGCACCTCATGTTTTAACAACCTTGCAATTAATGGCGACAAAAACAGGGAAGAAATATTTTTCTTCTTCTATTTTTCTTTTTTATAAGTATCAGATTGAGTATATGAAAATTGAATATCACCCTCACCTCAATGAGTTTGTGATTTACCGCAAGTCGGTTTGTTTATACAGAAGTTTATGTGGAAGTTAGCCGGCTACCATGGTTGCAATAGCAACGGCACACATAAAAATAGATGCCGGTCTGACCATCCTGCAACATTGATTTGAATGGGACTGTCCGTTCTGCTCTCATTCTGTTTCTATGATGGAGACCCACTTGATACAGTAATTGAAAGGGAGCTCAAACTAGGAACGACCGGGAAACCACCTGTAATGGCAGAGCACAGGCTGTGTCTCAAAATTATGTGAATATTCTGGGAGTGTGCATGAGATCTTTAAGCTATCAGAAAAGTGCCCATTCACTCATGGACTCTTTTTGTGAAGAAAGTATACAACTCCATTTGAAGGCACTGTGATGTCATGCCATGTCACAATGATCCACAGTCACTTAGGTCACCATTTAATCATCCACATATACCTGCATGCATCAGTCATTCACCCTAAAAATGCCTCACTCCCTGTCCCTCCTTCCCACATCACTACAACAGGAGTTGAGCAGTTTAGGTGGATTTATGAAATAGCAACAACTTCTTAAGAAGTATGAAGTGGTTTCTTGTGTTAGATTCATGTGAAACAGTGTAAACACACACATAAGCACACTGGCCTCAAGCAAAGGGGGGCTGCGGTCTGTTGGTGTGATGTCCTGTTAGAAGAGGTTTTCCCCACGAGTGATCAAAGCCTGTTGTGCTGCACCGCTTGGTGAGCAGTGAGTCACCAAATAGGTTTACAACTGCAGTCCGATCATCACATTCTGCAGTGTCTGTTCCTGTCATCTCATTTTGTCACTGCAGCAATTTTGACTCGTGCCGTTTTACTTAAATGTTTCAGAGCAGTGGCTTTAGTTCGCCTCCAACAATCTGTGCTGCTTGTGTTTTGGTTTTCTGTGTCTCTGTGTGTATGTGTAGGTAGAGCATATGCAGACACTTGCCCACAAGCGGTTCCTAGTTCCTGTGTGCTGTTTGTGTATCCAGCTAACACTTTGACCAAATAGCGTGGATCCTCTTGTGTTATGTAACGGCAGTGGTTACGATTTCTCAAGCTGAAGTGCAGGTGATGGGTATCTGTACGCTGTGTGGGAGCAAGTCCACTGGTTACTGGTGTGTGTGAGTAAGACTGGAAGTTTCTGTTGCTGCTGTGGTCTTTGTAGGGGAAAAAGGGGGGAATTTTACATTGTGAAGAGTTCACTCAATAGTTAACTGTTGGCTATTGTAATAGGTAGAAATAGACTTGTTATGAGAGAGCTCAGTGATGAGTGACAGGGTGGACTGGTGCTTTCTCCAGTATCATCGACCTGCAGGCGCTGTGAAACACGGCAGTTGTAGATGATGCACACACAGGAGAAAAGAAACTGCAGCTTGAAATATCAAGTCTCAAAGTGGTAGAAACTCACAAGCAGCGGTTAAAGACCAGATCCCCATATGAACATGCACCACTTTCACACAACATCACTACTTGAACAACTTGAACACTCTTGGTAAAAGCAGTTTGGGAATTATAGTTGCATGGTGTACTGGTACTACTGGTAAAATACCTCAGTGCATGCATTTAAAAAAAACAAAAACACAAGAGGTTTACTGGGATTATGTAGGATTATACAGAATCAGTGCCTGTATCGCTGTGCTAAATGCAGGATGCTAATGTTGTATTGTAACTGACTTGCAACAAAATTGAAGTAATATCAGTCTTTATCTGAGTGTGGAGCTCCTGACAGCCTTTTTAAAAGGTTATATTGCCATTTGTGGTCATTATTAAGCATGTTGTTGCCAGTGTCTGTTTCATCATAACGGGGACGATTGCATAAAGCTGTTTTTTGTTCCTAAATCTTCAAAGCAATTTAATACCTACCTATGCTTTACGCAGAGAGGGATTCTGTGTTGTGCTCACGCTGTTGCCAGGAGACTCCCTGGGTTTCAATTTTGGAAATCCTGTGTGGACCAATGAGCTGTTTGTTGTGGCTCCGGCCCACCAATCAGCTGTGGTTGTGCGTCCTGTGTGGGCGGGCTGCTCCCGTGTTTTTGACAATACCTATCCTCCTCAGTCTCTCTCCAGGGGGCGGGGGCAGGGATGCGCTCAGGGCTTCTCTCTGCCTCTGTGCTAGTATGCATGTGCACGTGCATGAAAGTGTGCATATAGAAATACTGTAGATACACACACACACACAAACACACACACACACACAATTGTCCTCTGTGTTTCCTGTCTTTGTTCTCTCTCTCTCTTTTTTTTGCTCGTTTTAAACCTGAAAACAAGTCTGTTTTGTGCACCTAATTGTCATCTAAGTCTATCATACTGTCGCCTTCACAGATTATGTTTGGCTTTCTTGTCACACAATGAAAACTCACATATCCATTTTAATGATACGGTATTGCAAGTGGCTTGTTCACTTATCAAAACGCACTTTTAATGTGCAGAATCTTCAAAGCCATTGTAATGTTAATGAATAAAAACAAATGCAACACGCTCAAAATTGAGAAGCTGTCGAAAACACCTTGCTGTTGTTTGAACACGCATGTGAACCCAGTTAAATGTAACCCAATCCAGTATGACACATTGCTTTTGTGCTTAGTGTCTTTAGTGTTTATTCTACTTTGTTCACACTTAGACACATCATATAACACTGCTGGTGCCTCCCGTCAGTATTATGCACAAACCTCACCAGATAATGTTCGCTGCTTCCTCTGAAATTACATCTGTTGTGGTTGTTATCAGCCCCATTTATGTGACTAAACTGCTTGGTAACCAAAACAGAGCGCGAGGATAACCTCTTGTACGTCACTAAACATAAAAGCAAGCGCGAGTCCTTGAAACCGGACTAATATAACAAGGCAAAACTTGCCTGTTTGTTTGATTTGATAAAATTCAACTTCAGATATTGCAGGATAATCGAGGTCAAGCACTATAACTTGTAGTTGTTATCAAAGCTTGTTTTTGCATTAAAGGAATGCATGCTGATATTCAGTGTATTCAAAAAGGTGTTTTATCATTAAATGAAACTGCTTTTTTGTTCATTTGGAATCTCTGTCACACATTTTGTTAATGTCTCTTTGTCCTTTGACCTCTCTTTTTGTCTTCAGGTGATCGGACTATTAGATGTTTTCACACCAGCGACAAGCTTAGAGGAATTCAATGATGTGTAAGTCACACATTTTTCTCACCCTTTCACCACCATCGTTTAGGTTTTCCTGTGCCTCTGTGTCTTTTGTGTTTGTGTTGTTCCTTTTTGTCCTGAGCTCTCATTAGTTTCCTCATTCTCACACAATGAAACCGTTCATATCAGCAGATGATAACCAGATAAACATGACAGCAAAAGTAGAGTTGCAAACGCATCATAACTCCGCAGCTCATAACTTCATGTGAGTCCAGCACGTGGCACATTTCACCAAGGTGATTGTAGGGTGAACTTGTGCACTATGCACATCACAGCTAGTCTCCATGGTAACAGCCATCTGGCAGTCTCTGGGGGTACTGTGTGTGCGTGTGTATGTGCACAGAATACTCAATCAGCATCCTCGAATTCTCTGCATGGTGTGGCGTCATCAGCATGTTGCACATTTGTTGAAATGTGAGCTGAAGCTACACACACACACACACACACACACACACACACACACACTCATCACTGGAGTTGCATAATAAAGATGTGACACTTCTCTTTCATGTGACCAGTAATAAAGACAGAAACATTGTGAAATCAATCCTTACAAGAGGAGCAGATGCATACACGCATTCACAGGCCAGCCAACAAGTGGCCTCTTGTGGAATGAGGTCAGATTGAGCAGATGTAGCGTGTAAAAACATACACACTTTTATTATATTTGACCTTCTTCTGCTGATGTGTTGGTTATATAAACATTTTACTATCAAGAAAAGATAAGTGGAACAATCAAACATTTTTTTTTCACACTCTTTATATCAGTGTCTTTGTCCTTTTCCTTCTTTTAAAAGTGCATGAATTATCCATGAACCACTAGCTTTTATTAAGTATTATCAAAATTACGTAAAATAGTAACAACTTAAGTCAGTCTTCCATAAAGTAATTGTTGCAGAAAGTAATAAAGTTTTTATAGCATTTTTCACAGTGAAGTTACAACCACCTCGAACAACTCAACAAATAACAATAACTGAACTCTAACAACACATTTGAATATAAAGGATTCTGCATAAGACAAAAGACAGACATGCAGACTTGTGGAGACCACATCCCATCAACTGTACTGTGTCTTTTGCAGGTACTTGGTGACCCACCTAATGGGTGCAGACCTCAACAACATCGTCAAGTGTCAAAAGCTGACAGATGACCACGTCCAGTTTCTCATCTACCAGATTCTCAGAGGCTTAAAGGTCAGTGAAACTCCCTGCCTGTTGATCAGTGGGCTGTTTTAGTAGACTGGTCTGAAGCTGTTATAAAGCTGTTAACTTAACCTTTGTGAGTATATTGAAAATACTAAATATCCTTTCTGTCCAGTGGTTGAGTAGCTGTAGAAACATATTAGAGATGTCTGTTAGTTTAAGTGGTGTAACCAGTGGAAGTTACGGTGCCACAACTGAACTTTGACATCTGACACAGTAACCCCAGAGTAAGGCTCATGGAAATACATGTCTATGCAACTTGACAGGTACACAAAGCAATTAAAAAATAATCAGTCTCGTGCAACACAATGCAACAGTTCATTTCACCAAAATTTGATAGCTAGATTGATAATTTTTTTCATTAGTCATATTGTTTTCTCACTAGATAATATCAAGTGAGAAGTGTCATTGCAACTACATTTCTGTCTTTGCACCTTATTTTCTGAGACAGGACTTCATGTAATTCAGTCGTAGTCATTTTGGATGATGTTCCTGAGCATGATTGCTTGATTTGCTGAACCTTCTTTGTGATTGATTTAGGATTTTGATATATTTAGTCTTTTATAACTGTACTCTGCAACGTAAAAAAACACCCGGAGAAATGGTATATACAATAAACTGTGCTATTATTTAAGAGAAATGTCCATAACCTGTTGCTTTTTGGTGTTCAACTACTGGGTTACACACATGAAACTATAATTTAGGTACAAAAATAGCAAATTGAATACACTTTGAGTTGCAGTGTGTTCATATTGAGAGTGTAAAATAAGTTTAATCATCATTATTTTGTTCTTTTCCCCCACAGTACATCCATTCTGCAGATATCATCCACAGAGTAAGTTATGACTGTTAAATGTCCTTGTATAAACTTGAGGTCTGAAGTCGGATAGATTATCTTGTTTAGAGGAAACATGTCTTAATCTCCTAAAGAAAGTCTGGTTACAAAGGCCAAAACAATGATTACTGCATCAGCTATGGTGTTTGTTTAACATTAACAGGGAAAGGCAGATAGAACGATAGCTCTCTGCTGCTTCTGTATCCTGTCTTGACTTTTCCTTCTTGCTGCCTATCCTCTTCAGGACTTGAAGCCCAGTAATCTGGCTGTAAATGAAGACTGTGAGCTCAAGGTGAGAAATAGCCGCCTTGAAACAAGGCTCACCATATATAATTTAGATGAAGAGTGGAAGATGTTCAGTTGTGCACCCTGTTTCCTCTCGCAGATCCTGGACTTTGGTTTGGCACGGCACACAGATGACGAGATGACGGGCTACGTAGCCACGCGGTGGTACCGAGCCCCAGAGATCATGCTCAACTGGATGCACTACAACATGACAGGTACACGCACAGATCGGGTCATAATGTTTTCCGCAACAACTGAATGTAACATAACTTGGTGACGTCTGTGTGTTAAGGGGTTGTCGTAATTTGCAAGCATTCAATTTGTCAAAAGGGCCGAACAATAATAGAAATAATAATACATAATGGAGGTTTCATTGTCTGCAGTATACATCTCTGATATACAATTTCACCAGATATATGTAGCTTTTTCTTCTGTAGTGATGCCTGTTTAGACTACTACATAACAAATGATGAGGGTGATTATAGAGAAACTAGGCCAGCTTTTCAATTTTTTAAGGTGCAACACCAACCACAGCACCCAAAGCAGTTATCTGACATGGCTTTGTGGTGTCGTCGTAAATGGTCAAATAGATTAGATGCAGTATGTTGCCTTTTTTTCACTGTGCCAAAACTTGCAAGGCGCTGTTGATAGAGTGCCTGTTTTTGCCCCATTTCATAGTTTGGGGATTTTAATACTTCCAAAAACAAGTGTAGCATTATTTTTTCCACCAGAAATTGTTGGTTTCTTTTAGCTGGTGCACCAAACGTAAATGCAAAGACTTCCGAATCTAACAAAGGTGTTTGGCTCTGTCTTTTTAGAGTGGTTTTGTAGCAGACGTAAAGCAAAAAATAACATTGAATACTAACCAGATGCAGTGACAGAAACAGAAATTACAGCTTAACAACAACACTGTATGTTTAAGAGATTCTGAAAAAAAGAGGCATGTTGAATTTACTTAAAGTAATGAAGTACTTTGTACTGAACAAAGCAAACTATACAATGTATTGTTGAATCCCTGTATGCGTCCCATGGGAATCCTTGTTGGTCTCCATTATGCCTTTGAAAAGCTTGAGCTCGGCGAAATTAATGTAACTGATACTTAATAGGAAACAGACAGGTTGTATCATATTCTTAAGTGTTCACTGTGCTGCGTGTTTTTCTTCATTACATGTAATAGTGGATATCTGGTCGGTGGGCTGCATCATGGCTGAACTACTCACTGGACAGACGCTCTTCCCTGGCACAGACCGTATCCTTCCACAGCTGTCGTTGCCATGCAAATATAAAATGGCTCCTTGGAGTCGAGCTCCACTGTAGGTCTTTGGTAGATCTAGAAGAGACAGTACATGGATGCATACTCGTCTTTTGTGTGTGTACTTGTGAGAAATGTCTTGTTCTCCGCACCCAAGGTTCTCACACAAGCTGTTGGCTTTGTTGTTAACACCACGATGTTTCAAATACACACACCCACTTGCACAATTTTACCTACTTCACGCTGACTTGAAAGCATTGCTGAGTATTGACTTTTGTGAGCTGCATTCCAAAATAGTCAAGGAAACTTGTGTGAGTGTGTGTGAGAGTATGTGCATGCATGTGATGGGAGCTAATAGTCCCCTGTGGTCTATGACTCAGCCCTGCCCACTGTTGTCTCCACTGCTTCTCCAAGATACGGTACACTTTCCTGTTTCCCCTCCCACAACACTTCCCATGCAGCAGCAGCAGCAGCAACAGCAGCAGCAGAGCATAACAAGGTTTTAATAGCAAAACACACAGGAAGATACTGTGTAATAAGGACACACACACACACATATACACACACCTACAGATACAGATGTTGGCAAACACTACAGAGGTCATGATCTGTTCAAGATCAAAAGCACAGGCTTGCTGTTGTGAAGTGTTTGTGATTCCTGCTCTGAATGATCAGTCAAGCCATTCACTCTTTCACTGCACACTCCGTGTGTGTGTGTATGTGTGTGGGGGTGTGTGGGTGTGGGTGTTTTGAATATGTGTCCTCACACTTAATCTAAATCACCTTGAGAGGTTGTGGAGCTTCCCATCCATGAAACATAGTTTTATATACAGAGTGCAATTGTCTGTCTGGTCTGTCTGATTTTACCCGTCTCAATGAAAGGTGATCTTGCTCATAGAGGCTACAAACAAAGTGAAAAGTCCAAAAATCAGATCCTGCATCTTATAAGCTCCTGCAGATTTTAAAGGAATACCTCACCCACAAAGTGACCATTTGTATATCAATTATTCACCTCTTGTTTTGTTGAATTCATGAAGAAAACTTTTTTTTGTTGTTGTTTTCCTCCATGGTGAACGAAGAATCCAAAAACAGAAAGATAAATTGAGGTAAAGGAGGCCACATTTAACAACAGCAAAACTATATCAAAATATCTGTTTACAAACTCTCACACATCTCGTGCAGTATAATCCAAGTCTCATTTATCCAGTCGTATGCTCAGTTCTTCCCAAACATGTTTTTAACAAAAACGTATTTAACATTTTTACGTATTTATAACACCTCTACATAAAGTGTCTCACACACTGACAAGTAGCCTCACCTGGGCGAGAGCTTGCATTTGAACTCTGCTGAATGAAATGTACGAGCACAGTTCAAATATATGCGCTTCCCCAAGCATGTTACTGCGCAAGTGTTTTAAATAGCACGGTTGTATCGAAAATGCATGTGTTTTGGAAGCAGCAAGCATACAACTGGATAAACGAGACTTGGATTAAACTGCATGAGTGTGTGAAAGTTTGTAAACTGCTGTTTTTTTTTTTTTTTTTTTTTTTTACGTAGTTTTGATTTAGTTTTCATCAACAACAGTACAATCGATAGTTTCCCCTTTTTTCCAGCTGTATATAACATTTGTATACATTAAATTCAGAAATTATCCAAACATAAAAAGATGACAACACAAATATCCACTCCAACATATTAACCTTTTAGTTAGAACAATGAAAACATTTTTTTGTTTTTAAAGTGAAAAACAAAAGTAATAATGGTCCACTCCACATTATAATCACACAGGAAAGTACAGGTGCAAAATTTGTACTGTAAACTGATGTTTTGATATAGTTTCGCTGTTTTTCAAACAATTCATGAAGAATTCTCTCCATTTTTGGATTCTTCGTTCACCCTGGAGGAACGCTAGAAAAACAAAGTTTCCGTCATGAATTCAAGGAAACACAGGGTGAGTAACTGATATACAAATGATCATTTCTTGGGTGAAGTATTACTTTAACTGAAAGGAGAGTGTGTCTACAGCAAAACACTTATATTAATGTATGAATGATCGCTGACATTTTTAAATTTAACAAAGTGGCCTCATGTACTTTATCTGGTTTTGTTTGTACTAAACATTCTCAGGTTCTGGCTTCTGTAATGTAGGGGCTTGATGCTTTTCACTGTTTAATATCATTTGTAGATTGAATGGATTTTGGGATTGGTGACAAGAATTTCTTTTACTGTTTGTTGACATTTGCGATGGCAGTCCTACTTGCTTGCATTTGCCTTTTTTATACCTAAGAATGTGCAAAATTACCCATTATTGCATGTCATGCTTTAAGAAAGAAGCCTCAGTTTGCCTGATTAACAAGAACAATCTAACCCCTTAGTAATGAATGATACGATCATTATTCAACATCCAAATGTTGTGAGCAGTAACTGTCAATTATGCATCACACTGTTTAACAGATTACACAGTTGAGTTGATTGAATTTGAGCTGTTGTTGACTTTTTTCCTTTTGTTTTACTTATAATGAATGAAAGAATCTTTTCAGAGAGCGACAGCAGCTTTGGCTGTTGTGCCTCTCACCCCCTCTCTCCTGATCCAACACTCTCCATCCCTCCTGTTTTCCTTCATGTGAGTGCGGTAGACATTGATCAGTTGAAGCTTATTATGACGCTCGTCGGAACCCCAGGGCCCGAGCTCTTGATGAAAATCTCTTCGGAGTCTGTGAGTGTCAAGAACCATCCTGCCCAGTTCTGTTGCACTGCCCCTCCTGCCTGTGTTTGTGTTGCCTTGGCAAGAGTCAGACAGTCTACTTTACTTCTTTGTATTGCCACTACTACTTCTAAGCTGCACCTGTTTTGCTCTGAGATTGGGTTTTTTTCTTAATGGCTTCATTTTCACTGCAGCACAAGGCTTTGATTCCAACTTCTTTCTAGCATGTACTATGAACTCCCAACAGTCTTTGAATCTCTTCTGGCCTGTAGTGCAGCACAGGGTCACTGCGTCTATATATATAAATCTTTATTTCATCTTTAAATAAATACCTGGGTACTTCAGTATAGGTTATAGCCAGGTGAGGGTTGCTGTATACTGAAGCTCAGAAACTTTTTTCCTCCTTTCACATCTTCTTCATCCGTACCTTGCGTGTGTGTTTCCCCCCCTTTTCCACCCCTCCATACACAACCCTCCCTAACCACCCATGCTCATTGACATGCTGACCTCCATGTTATGATGCCCCTTAACTTGGAAGCTATAGATATAAACCAGCTGCAGCAGATAATGCGCCTGACGGGGACGCCCCCAGCCTCCCTCATAAGCAGGATGCCCAGCCATGAGGTGAGACACGTGCCCTCCACCTTCCCTGAAGTCCAGGCTCGCCCCCCCTCCAACCCCACCCACCCTTCCCCAGCTGGAATCGGGGCGGAACCACTGATATCGTTTACACTCAATGTGTTGTACACTATCAAAGTATTTCTTGCCATTTGCATTGTCTTTGCGTTAGCCTCTGCTCTCACTCCACTTACTCCCTGTTCCTCTCTGACTCACCATGCTTGTCTCAGCAAGGCTTCCCAGAGTGCTTTGCCGGTGTATTCTGATGAGCTAACTGTGGCATCAGCAACACATTGATTCTGAAAATTAAAGTGTGTGTGTAGTGAGTGTGGATTTGGTGGTATTTAAGTACTTGAAGCATGCCTTACTGGAAGGGTGAACAGTAATAGTAGTTTTTGCACCAAGCAAATTTAGTACATTAATGTATGTCAAAAGATTTTCCATTTTAAGCCGTAGTGTGACAAAGTGCAACCACTGTTATCTTTTACAGTTTTGTTAATCTTTTCTCACAGGCGAGGAATTACATTAACTCACTTGCCCACATGCCCAAGAGGAACTTCGCTGATGTGTTTATTGGTGCCAATCCTCTCGGTAAGTTCCCTTTTCAGCCTCACACAATGGCTGACACTATTACTGGCTCACTGGGTCCCTCTAGTGGTGTCATAAAGTCACTGTTTTGTTTTTTGGTCAGTGTTATCGTCAATTCCAATACATGTTTGTCCAATTGAAATCATCCACTGTGATAAATACTGACAACAGCCATGTAGAAACAGTTTTAAAGGGACGGTACGTATTTTCCCTCTCACTAGTTGTGCTAGTTATTGGTCTAGATGGATGCACGCTGTCTTCTGCACAGTGATAAGTAGTTTGGAAGACAGAAAATAGGTCCTACATGTAACTACTTACAACAAGGTCTGCGGATTATCTTGAGTAAACAGTTCATGATTTCTGGAAAGAGACATTGCTGTTATTTTTTTTAAATGTATTTTTTGGTGTTTAAGCACCACAAGCCAAGTGCCATCTAGTTACATTACATTCAAGAGAAGGGAGATATCTCTACAGCCGATATCTCCGACAATCTGCAACTTATCCAAAACAATGCTTTGATTTTGGAATGAACTGTTCCTCTAACAGCTAGCCATTAATATTAGATGGATAAAGATGTAGATTTTGCTTCTTTGCTTTTCACATACTCATCATTGTTCTCTTACTGCTGTCTTCAAGCGGTGGACTTGCTAGAGAAAATGCTGGTGCTGGACACAGACAAACGTATCACGGCATCTGAGGCTCTGGCCCACCCGTACTTTGCCCAGTACCATGATCCAGACGACGAGCCCGAAGCGGAGCCTTACGACCAGAGCTTCGAAAGCCGCGAGCTGGAAATTGAGGAATGGAAGAGTAAGTTGCCTGGGCTATAGCCTGAACTGCTGAGGAGAAAATAGTTAGATGCAAGTTGTGTACTAAAAAGACTGCCTCAAAAAATTTGTCAATAACCTCACTCTATTTATTGTCTCGCAGGGTTAACCTACGAGGAGGTACTCAGTTTTGAGCCACCGTCGTTCGATGGAGATGAGATGGAATCCTGAGGAGGAGGCACCTTTTCTTCCATCTTTTTGTTTTCCAGGAAACACTCTTTAAAGACTATCAGTCTCTTGTGACTATCCACCACTTTTTTCACACACACACACACACACACACACACACACACACACACAGAACCATGACATTCAAGTGCCTGCCGTCATTCATCTCCGGGGGACGTTGTTTTATCAGGGATAAAACTTGACATCTTGTTCCTTCTGTCCCCCACTTTGCTGTTTTTGTTACTCTGCATCCCAGACTTTTAATCTTCCTTATATTTTTAGTGAGTTTTTACCTCAGACATTTATTGTTTGTATTGATCCCCTCTTTGATTCAGAAAACTATAAACTACATGTCAGTATCTTGGACAAATTGAACAGCTAATACGGATTTTATAAAAATGTTCTACGTAGCAGGAATTAATAATATAAGATAAAGTTTGAAACATTTCAGTCAGCGGTGTGTCTAAAGTTTATCTTTCTTCCACACATTAAGATTAAATATTATTTCTATCATTGCATAGAACTGTGTAAATATGGCAAACGGTATTTGTACATAAGTTCTTCAGTCGAACTAGTTACCGTATTTGTGTATTAGTCATATTTGCTGAGTCATACCTCAGCTGAGCCCTTTGACAGTATGAATTTTATTACTAGAGTTTAGCCTAAAGTGGCATATAAAAAAAGATACAGTATGTAATTTATTAGAAGTATGTAAAGGATAGGCTTAAATATTAAAATATTTACCTCTACACAGCAAATTTAGGGCTTCATATTTCTTAGTTTTGGATTTGAAGGCTAACAGTGTCCTTTTTTTTTAACCAAAATATGAGTTTGGAGACTTAGCTTATGTATCCATTTCACCTGCTTAACATCTGTGTAGCTTGTTCTCGTTTCTCCATATCAATTCTTCTTTTAGCACTTCACTTCTGTCGTTTCAGAGGAATGTTACAGTCCCCATTATCACAGCCTCCAGTTTCGCATGATGAAGCCAGATTTGGCTCTTTAGTTTATCAAAATGTGCTGTTTTCCACCACAACACCAACTGACAATGTACTTTAATCATATTGCATTTATAAAAACACAGTACTATTAATGTTTATTGAATGTTGGGGGGCACCAGTCTGCCCTGTATTTATGATCTTTTTGTTATGTTGTTTGTATATCGATGTAAAAGAGAATATTATTTGTCAGAATTTAAGGTTCTTTTTATTATTTATGGAAAGCTTACCGTTTCAAAAACCAAACGCACCGTCAATAATCTCAAATATCAGTCAAGCCGTGGTGACTGCAGTTACAGCTTGTGTATCAGAGCCAACAATATTATTAAGGTGTTGCGGACAACCTTATAATTTTAATCAGTTTTATAAATTCTGAGCGTTTTGGAGGTGTTCCAGTTCATTTTTTCTCTTTAGTTAAAAGCAATTCTTGAACAACCCCGAGGTACTGCCCTCCAAAAGTATCCTATTTTTTTATAATTTCATTAAAATACATTAAAGCAAAATATGTATTACAACTACGCCAGCATTTTGTATTGACATACAGACCACTAAACAGTAGATCCCTTGTTCTGAAGTGTACTACAAACAAAATGTTTTTATTTGAACTATTTTGGGAGTCAAATTACCTTGTGACATACAAGCTATATCCACAGTTGCTCTGGCTAATGTCAACCAAACATCAGTGTCTTCACAGTCTCCTTTGCAATAGCTCGTTTTCATGTAGTGCTTTTTTTTCCTCTAATGTATTATTTTATTCTTTTGTGTGTTAAATCAAAATTTGATGTTATTCTGTGATTCTTGTAATATTGATTGTTTTTTGAGTAATGCTAGAACTATATTTGTCATTCTTTTGAATAATTTAGCAGGGCACATGTTTGTGGGAAAGAGTGTACGTTTACTCACTGGATGCTGAAGGGCAATGCTGAAGCCTCATTCTTTGTAGTTTTATGACAACTGCACACGTTAGGTAGGATATTTATCTTTTTCCATATCCAAATGTCAGTTTGGTCATTGGTTATGCTTTCTTTGCCTGAGATGTGTTCGTATCTTTTTACTATGTGCTTTATGACATGTACCAAGACAGCACGTCACGCCACCTGTAAATATCACCATAAGAAAATAAAGGCTACTATTTTTCAAACCTGTAACTGTGTGTCGTATGTTGTGGTGAGTTTGAGCTGTCTGGACAGCAGCACAGCACAAGTAGAGCAAAACATCTGCCAAACAGGGATACTCAGCTTGCCTTGCCTGAGGCCACTTTTGCAAAATTAAAGAAGGCCAGGGGCCAGTTAACAAACAAACATTAATAATTAATACACAAATAACTAGTTTGGACCTCTGTTGGAGGTTCAGGGGGATCCTACCGCTGGCAGTTTTATTAAAAAAAATAAGCTCTGCCTTATCGTGGGCCAGATTTGGCTGTAAGGTGAGTATCGCTGGTGTGGGATGGATAAATCTGTAAGAAAAGAAGGTGAAATAAAGCAGAAATTAAGAGCTTTAATCAAAATCTAAACAAAACTAATGAATGAAACACTAGACACACAAGTATGAGTACTTACATGTATTCATACACACACAGTCGGAATCCCAATCCTTAATGTTAATATCGTATTAATACAATAACAGAATCAAGGAAACAAGCTTTCGGGGAGAGGTCGGTTGAATGTTTGCCCAGCCAGTGACAGAGTAAATAAATCAAAAGGAAAACTGATTAAACGTATATTTGCACTATGTTCCACCAGCTTTACATAAGCCATGTGTTCTGGGAAATCACGACAGTCCTTCAAAATGTTGTGCTTCTCACAGATTGATGACTGAGTTGATAACTTTCACTGTTGCACTCAAGGCCATCATGAGCTCCCTCCACTAATATTGTATGATTCTTAATTATGGAGGCTCAGTGCTGCCAGGAAAAGAAACACAACTGATAAAAAGTTAAGAATAAAAATGTTTGTTTTAGAGTTTGAGTCAAAATTATGTTTCGAAATTATGACTTAAAGCAAAACTATGTGACTTTTGAAAGAAGAAAACACATTGCTTCTTTTACAAAAACCTTTTCAGTCTGGTATGACCAGGAGCCATTTTACATATACCTTGATAGCTGGGCTGGATTTAACTAATTCTTTAGCCTGTAATGCAAATAATAGAGAAACAATTCCAGTGACAGTGATGACTGTTAATAATAGGTAACAATCCCCAAGGGTGGAGTACCACCAAAACAAAGATGAATTTGATAAATTGGAAAATCGTGGCCCTGTCTCAAAATGTGTTAAAATCTAACTATTTATTTTATATTGTGCTCAAATGGTGCACATTTCCAGTACAACTGTGTTTAATCAGAGTACATACAAACACATCATTATCATTTCACAAGAGTACTGGTTACTCTGGATTTATTGGGAACTTGAAGGCCACCAGGCACATACATGCTGCACAGATGGTGTTATAATGGGAGGTCAGTAAGGTCCCAACTGCTTTGACAGGTAAATCCAGTTATGACAATGACTGGACCCCTTTGGAGTCAGTGAAAGCCGCAGGTCTTTGCAGTGTTGTTGTAAAATAACGGCCATGAGAGAACTGTGTGTATTTATGTGGTAAATATTTTAATTTGCTCGCCAAAACACACCATATACACAGCGAATATTATTAGCTGCTGACAGTCTTCACACACTCCGCCCCCTACAGCTCAACTCTGTTGGGTCGCTCCTTTTCGCGCACTTTAGAGTTTCCACATTTCCGACAGTACGTGAACGCAGCTCATCTCTTGAGTGGTTAGCAACATGGAAAGAAAAGGTAACGTTATAACTCACTTTAAAATGCTTTTAACACCTAGTACCCGACACACACGCATTTCTTCAACACATTTCTGTGGCAAAGTAATTCCCATATTGGTTTTAACAACTGTAACGAGCCACGTAACAGTTGATGAAAAGTAAGAGTGGACCATGCGCTCTGCTGTGTGTGTATGTGTGTTTTAACAGTAAGCTAGCCCGAGCTATCAGACTAACGTTAGCATCTGATTGTGGACAAGTGACGTTATGCGCCTAAACTTTTATTCAGGTTTAAAGCAAAAAATATCCCACGGTGTCCCCAAAATTATCAACAAATTTACCAGGGCTCGGTGTGATAATGGAAAAAACCTGTGTGATATTCGCAGTGAAAAGCACCAAGTTAGTGTTAGCGGCTAACTTAAACTACCTCCTCTGTGGGGCGACACACCACCAAGGCCGGTTTACTTCACGTTAGCTTAGAAGAGGCGTTTACTCCAGCTAAGTTACCTGCTAATTAGCTATTCACAGTTGCTAATGTAACGACGTAACTAGGATTTCTCCTTTACACCTGCTGCCTGGGGCGCAACTGTACTGTTCCTCTAAAATTACCACATAGTCATGAAGCTCTAATAAACAAAACAGCGAATTATATAGTCAAGTATTTTTGCTATAACTTACTGTTTTCTGTCTACTTTTTAGTACTCGCAATGCAGGCAAGGAAGAAGAGGACGAAGCCCAGGAAACCTGGCAAAAAGTAAGTAGAAAAACCTGCTTGTTTTCTTGTCACAGTTTACCCTCTCTGGTCCGGAAACACAAAGCAGGAGGTGTAATTGCTCTGAATCACAAAAGGATTGACTGCCAAGTAGGTTTTCACTTACAACGAATGTGCTTTGGTTTGTATGTGCATACATAAAACATACAATAAACTTATTAAGATGAATAAAAAACAAGGCAACGTACTGCAACACACAAGAACATAGATATAGAATCGAAAATATACAATAAAAATAAGACAAAGATAGTTTTTAATAGTACTATAACATAATAAGCATGGTAAATGGACCTGCATTTGTATAGCGCCTTTCTAGTCATCCGACCACTCAAAGCGCTTTTTACACTACGAGTCACATTCACCCATTCACACACACATTCATACAGTGGTGATCGAGGCTACCATACAAGGTGCCATCTGCTACTTTTTTTTTTTTTTTTTAAACTCACTCACACACCGATGGAAGCATCATCGGGAGCAATTTGGGGTTCAGTACCTTGCTCAAGGATACTTCAACATGCAGACAGGAGGAGCCGGGGATCGAACCTCTGAGCCACAGCCTATGAGGGGTCGGGTATAAGAATCCATGTCAGTGGAGTTCGGACCTTGCTGATGAGGCGCACTGCAGTCGGGAAGAAACTGTTGTACAGCGTGAGGTTTTTGTCCCTGATGGACAGCAGCCTCAGAGGGGAGTGTAACAAAGAGTTTGTGTCCAGGGTGGAGGAAGTCGGCTTCAATTTTTCTTGTCTGCCTCGGGGTCCTGGAGGTGTACAGGTCCTGCAGGGACAACAGATTACAGGCAGTCACCTTCTCAGAGGAGTGAATGATACACTACACTCTGCCCTTGTCTTTTGCTTAGCTGTATTTTCTCACTTGGCTGTAAGTTTGGCAACTTTTAATCATCTGCCAAAATGACATCATGTGATAAGGAGTTGTCCCACTTAATATCATGCAGCTGTTAGTGTGTGTTGTTAGGATAGAGTTATTGGCAGATCTAGCATCACAGTGTATCTGCATGTTTGTGACTTGCACCTTTACATTATTATATTATATAAAAAAAAAGACGCAAAAAAACAGAAAGGAATATGACATTGAAATGCTCAAGTACGTTTTTCTGTATAGTAAGGAAGTCATTTAATACTATTTGAAACCGTGTTGATGCTGTCAGTTTGAGTGCTTGCCATAATAAGAGCCACTTTGAAAATTGCTTACAATGGTTCTATAAAGTGGACTCGAGTTGACATTTATAACACAAAAGATGAAGGAAAATTGATGTAGGTTTTGTTTTTATTTCAAAATCATCTGAAGTTACGTAAGCCTGCAAAAAGGGGAAAAAAGCCTTTTCAGATGCTTAACACAGGTGGAGACAGCAGGAGATAAGGGACCTTTTTGTTGAATGCAAATTGGATTTAAAAGCCTGTGTAAATAATACAAATGGCCTCAAGGCACCACACAACAACAAATCTTTGTGGCTGAATTTGTTCTGACATTATGAAGTCAGTTCAGTATTACAGCAACTCAATAAGTGGTGCAAAGAGGCTATATTTCACTTTGTGTGTACAATCGAAGCACGATTATTCATTCATTCATTGTCCGCGCTCCTCAATCACTTATCCTGTTCAGGGTTTCGGGTGTGCTGGACCCTATCCCAGCGGATACTGGGCGATATGCAGGGCACACCCTGGACAGGTCATCAGACTATCACAGGGCTGACACATAGAGACAGATAACCATTCACGTTACATTCACATTTACAGGCAGTCATCAGTTAACCTAACCTGCATGTCTTTGGACTGTGGGAGGAAGCCAGAGAACCTGGAGAACACCCACACACAGACCGAACTCTACACACTGGGTTTCTCAGTTTATTGTTTGTTATTGCTCTGTTCCTATGTGTCTGCTGCTGGGATGTCTCGGCTCTATTTGCTTATGATCGCCAAGCTCTTCTCAACATTTGTGTCTCTGACTCGTTGCTAATGCTGTTAAAGCATGAATTGGGAGACCCGACTGCAAGCCTCCCTCCTTTGCTGGCAGATATTCCATCTTACCTGCGCCGCTCACCTTGCGCCCCTCCCCGCAAAAAACGTCGGAGAAGACGGGGTAAGTGCGGTGGTGTATTGGTGAAAGTCAAGGCCTATCTGTCGCTGTCCTGTGTGGCTGATCCTCGCCTCCTTCGTAGTGGATTTTGCTACTCTTCTGCCGTCAGACGTTCAATACAGCTCAGAGGACCGTGGTTACGGATTGTCATTCCCAGCCCTCTCGCTGCTGCTGTTCCTGGCCTGATGATGCCGTCTGGCACGCCGATGGATGCTGCTCCTGCTACTTCGCCATTGAGCTCTGCTTCTGCAGGCCGGACGACAACACCGGTTCCGCTCGCTGTCTCCCATGGATCGTTGGCGGCCCCTGCCCAGTGTGGCCTGATGTCGGTGTCTCTTCCTGGGCAGCTGCGTGTGCCCAGAGGCGGCGTTGTCCACACAAACCTTCGCCCGCTAAGACGTGCCTCGACCAGCATGACTCCTAACGTTACCTTGAGGATGGCCTTGATCAATGCTAGATCCCTAGCTAACAAGACCTTCTTGCTGAATGACTTTTTCACCTCCCGTAA